AAGGTTATATACCCAAAAAACAGTAGAAAGTATTATACGTTATCTTAATGATAAAATACCAGATGAACTGAAGAAAATTGAATTATTATTAACCTTCAAAAAAGCTAAGAATTGCATAACTGAAACTTGACGATTTTTTGACTAGTCAAAATTGAATTGAAACAAGAAAATTTTCAAGAACAAACAATAACAAAAATTAAAATCAATCGTAAGTGAAGTTGCTAAAGCTCAAAATATTCAAAGCTGCAACTTTCAGTTGTCGAAAGGTTTGTTTATTTTTAGAGCACTATAAGGTGTTATGTTGGTAAAAGTGATAAGACTGACAGACAACATGAATACGAGTAGTTTGAATAGAGTGGTATGAGAAATGAAAGACTGGTTGTGTTAAAATTCACCACATATTTTTTTGTGTAATAATCGACTGAAATACATTCAAAAGGCTAAATAATTTGGTATTAATCATCAACATTTTTGGTAGCAGAGCGTGGTCAGTAAAAGACTACAAACAAGAAAAAAGGTGGTAATTTAGGTTGAAACAAAACCAGCACAACAAAGCTTCCAAACATATTCCCGGCAACCATAGTGTTCACTAGTCAGTTCACATCGTGGCGGCGATTCATTTGCCCAGTGAAAGTTTGAAAGCTTTCCATGAAGCGAGAAAGGTAAAAAGAGCATAAACATTTGATGGTCTAGAGCTAGAGTAGCGGAATTCATTGTGAGTTCCTATTTTTTATTATCCTAACCCCCTAGAGTTGGGGTATCGCATATTAGCTGTAGCTTAAGAGTTGAAGCTAAATATTATCGATAAGTTAAATTGAAAAGATGTTAGACTCTAATAGAAAGCGCGAAATCATTAAAACCGAACTTGGTGGGTTCGACAAATTCATCAAGGGTTTAGAAGAATAAGAGGAGGTGTCAAAACTTGATTTATCACAACTGAAAGATCAAATCATCAACAAAAGTAATCGTAATGAAATGAAAGAGGTTACTGTGTACCATATTAATGTGTGGTGCGGCCTTCCTGTGCATTAATACCAGCTAGAAGTGAGTTCAGGAGCCCTCTGTCATCAAAAATGACTCCCACGACTTCAAAGTGTTGTAGGAAAATTGTGATTTTTTAATTTTTCTACAAATTCTTCCAAAGGCAATCTCTTTGAAGATTTCCACCATATTTTCATCACAAGCTCGAAAAAACAACATTCAACACTTAGGCTAATAAGTATCGGGCCTAACACATAGATGGTGCTAGTCTCATTGCATTCACCGCTTTTTCACTTAGTAATAACCTTCAAAAGAAAGCTGTTGAAATGTTTCGTGTTTCAATTATACACTGCCTTCTGATGGTAAAAATGCCGTTCAAACGAAGCAATGGCTTCAAAAGTGTTATAAGGACTCGGCTCCATCAGAAACAACAATCAAACGTTGGTTTGCTGACTTCAATCGTGGTCGTAGAGACATCGATGATGCAGAACGCAGTTGACGTCCAAACGAGCCAGTAACACCACAAAACGTAGAAAAAATCCACAAAATCGTTTTGAATGATCGAAAAGTGAAATTGCATCAGTTAGCTGACTTTGTAAAGATATTGAATGATCGTGTTGGCTTTATATTCCATGAGCAAGCTCTGTGCCGCGCGAGCTCACTGCTGACCAAAAACAAGAACATCTTGATGATTCTAAGCAGTGTTTGGCAATGTTTAAACATAACAAACCAGATTTTTTTGCATCAATATGTGACGATAGATGAAACATGGATCCATCACTTCACCCCGGAATCAAAAAGATCGTCATCTGAGTGGAAAGCCTGGTGAACCTCGTCCAAAGCGCCCGAAAGCACAACAATCGGCTGGAAAGGTTATGGCCTCGGTATTTTGGGATGTGCGTGGTGTAATATCCATCGACTATCTTGAGAAAGGAAATACCATTAAGAGTGAAAAAACAATTTCGTGTTTCAATTATACACTGCCTTCTGATGAGAAAAATGCCGTTCAAGCGAAGCAATGGCTTCAAAAGTGTTATAAGGACTCGGCCCCATCAGAAACAACAATCAAACGTTGGTTTGCTGACTTCAATCGTGGTCGTAGAGACATCGATGCTGCAGAACGCAGTGGACGTCCAAACGAGCCAGTAACACCACAAAACGTAAAAAAAAATCCACAAAATTGTTTTGAATGATCGAAAAGTGAAATTGCATCAGTTAGCTGACATTGTAAAGATATCAAATGATCGTGTTGGCTTTATATTCCATGAGCAAGCTCTGTTCAAAGGGGTGCCGCGCGAGCTCACTGCTGACCAAAAACAAGAACATCTTGATGATTCTAAGCAGTGTTTGGCAATGTTTAAACATAACAAACCGGATTTTTTGCATCAATATGTGACGATAGATGAAACATGGATCCATCACTTCACCCCGGAATCAAAAAGATCGTCATCTGAGTGGAAAGCAACTGGTGAACCTCGTCCAAAGCTCCCGAAAGCACCAAAATCGGCTGGAAAGGTTATGGCCTCGGTATTTTGGGATGTGCGTGGTGTAATATCCATCGACTATCTTGAGAAAGGAAATACCATTAAGAGTGAATATTATATAGCGTTATTGGAACATTTGAAGGCCGAAATTGCATAGAACAGACCGCATATGGCAAAAAAAAAATTGTTTCATCAAGATAACGCTTGATTGGGCTTCGAATTGCTTCGGCATCCACCGTATTCTCTAGGTCTGACCTCCAGCGACATTTTTCTGTTCGCAGACCTCAAAAAATACTCACCGGTAAGAAATTTCGCTCCAATGAAGAGGTTTTCACTGAAACTGATGCATATTTTGAGGCAAAAATAAATCGTTCTACAAAATTGGTAGTGAAATGTCAGAGTGGCGCTGGAATGATTGTGTGGCTCATAATGGAGATTAAGATGATGAATAAAGCCAATTTTGAACAAAAAACCCGTATTTTTTCTCAGGCCCAGGACATTTCAGCCCATGTAGAACTACAGTGCTTACTATGGTGTTCTTAATGTGCAGACCTGCCGGAACGCCTTTTATAAGAATTTCGTTCTGTTGATTTTTGAAACCTTCTAACAGAGGAGGTATTTCTCACATCAAACAACCTACTCAATTTTGAAAAAACTTGAAATTATATTTCTTTTTCAATACCCAATTGAATCGCAGGATATTAAATCGTCTTGAAGGTATAAGAGATGCCAAAAAACGGGATAAGATTTTTAAAAAAAGATCGGACACGTCGATTTCTAATTAAAGGGGGACACCTTTCAGACTAGTCAGATTTTTTGTAGTACGCACCCCCTCGGAGGGGTGTTGTTACCTTGTTGTCAAATGAAAATGGTTTATCCCCTATCCAAAAAGCAACAAGATATTCATCAACACAAAAAAAATAGACATACAGCAACCACACGTAGTGCAATATTATAATAGATATATGGGAGGGGTAGATCAGATGGATAATAATATTGCAAATTATCGTATAGGTCTGCGAGGGAAAAAATGGTATACTCCTATTTTATTTTGGATGTTTGACATATGTATGTGTAATTCCTGGGTTTTGTCTCGCAAATTTGGTTTGAAGTTGGACAATTTGGAATTTCGCAGAAGGGCTATAATCGCTATATTACAAAAATATGGAAAACCTCATTTGGCCACAGGTCCAACATTCCATTCTGTAAGTCCAGCGGTACGTCGACAGGGTCAGCATCTGGTTGTGACCAGCCAAACAGGGCGAAGATGTGCTTTTTGTAAAAATAAAACAACCAAGGCATGCGATCAATGTAAAGTTGCCCTCCATGATAAATGTTTTCTAGATTATCATAAATAAAAAAAAAGTTCAAAGTATTAGGTACGATGCAATGTTCGCTAAAGGCCCCTACAGGCGTCGATCTTTTTCGACAGGATTACCCGACGTGCAAAACTGCTCGGGTAATCCGGTCGGTGTGTGGCAGAAAACCGTCGTGATTTATTTTTTACGACGATTTTGAACGGTTAAATTAATACCAGTTAATGAGGAAAGATCTGAGGGAATCGCCATTGGTTCAGTATACCTCCCCTACGATAGTCCGGAACCAATCAGGAGTATGACAGGCTGGTGAGGGTCTATCGGGCAAACAGATATGAGAAGATTGAGGGAGTTTCAGAAACTTTGATCGGGTTGTTTGAAGACGCAGGGTGTACAGACACACCGGTTTTTCATCAAGACACGATAGCTATATAGTAATCAGGTGAATTAGTTCAAAAAAATTCTAATTATTCTAAAGTATTTCCGTAGTTTAGGTAATCATATAAACCTGTTCGAGATGCTGTCAAAATTAAATCAAAATGGCCGCCTGTAGGCACACATGTTGTTTTGTTCTAATGGAAAGAAAACTAGAAAAGTCCATAATCAACTTGTCTTTGTGAGTGATTGTGTTGCTGCTTGCTGAAATTCGTTGTTTGGGGCTGATTTTACATATCAATCGTCATTCATAACATAAAATTATGCCTACAACGTGTTGTGTTGTAAATTGCGGAAGCCGTGGGGATCGTAATCGGGTAAACTTTTACAAAATACCTAGTGAATTACATTTTGCACATAGAAAGGACTTGAACGAACTTTCAAAAAGGAGACGCCAAAAATGGATACACGCTATCAGAAGAAAAGATCTCACAGAAGTCAAACTTGAATACAGTAGAGTGTGCAGTAAACATTTTTTGTCTGGTGCCATCATAATTATTTTCACAGCTTCCAAAGATAACAAAACACGAAAAAACTGTGAAGTACCTATGTCATTGTACTCATTGTGGGCCTACAGGCGGCCATATTGTTCGAGAATTGGTCACGTGTTCTGGATATCCTTGTAGGTAGATAAATTATAAGTTCACTACTTATCCAAAAACCTTACAGTATATTTGTAATTTGTGGTCTTTTTAGAAAATAAAACTAACCACATAACTGAAATTTAATCCTAACTATCATTAAATCATGTTACTGAAGTGATTTACAATTAGTTTCATCAATCTTACCTTTTATATGGCATGTACATATCTGCTTTCAATACAATATGTCTCTCATCGACGAAAGAAGTGACACCCACGAAACCCCAAACAGGAGGGGCGCCGATTTTAGCGACTGGGATTCCAGTTCTTTCAGAAACAATATTAATAACAGATAAACCTTCATCAGAAGTCACGGCTACAATATTCCTAGGATTCACTCTGGTGCAAAATTCCAAAAGACATGTAGCAAGAAAACATACTGGGCCATGGTTATTCAAGATGATCCGTAGGTTGCGATTTTCGTTGTTGTTGATGATTTCAGAGAGTTGAATCATTCTGGAATAGCAACGTGCCAGCCATTCATCAAAGGACTCATTTTGGTGTCTGAAAAAGGTTTTTCGTGGTGAAGTCAAGAAAGTGAAAACTAAAAAATTGACAAACCCTTGGAGAGTCATTTCAAGATTTTCAATAAAATGAAAGTACTTATTGAATTCATAAATACATTCAGTGCTATTGACGATTCTTACCGTCATGATCATCAGTGCCCATCAATTCAGATTTACTTTCCAATACATAAGCTACGCCGCAAAAAATATCAGAAATTGATATGAAATTGCTTAGCTTCAGGAATATACCACAATGCTTTCAGTAACAGCGAGTATGTAACAACGGTAATTGATCTACCCTATACAATGTTCACGGTTATATATCCCACCCAGTCCTGTGTAATCTATAGGAGAATGAGCAAGTTCTTGCATCCAACGAACCCTGTCTTTAATCCTCCCTGAATATATATTCATCTAGTTAACTGCGGAGAGTATTCGTGTGTATAAGATGTATAAGATAATACGAATTAAAACATATATTTTCATTCTGTAATTCATTGAAATCTAAAAATCAACGATTTTACCCCTGAACAAACGAATTCAGAATCCGTTACGTTTCCTTTAGCCATCTGGCCAGATAGCAGTGGATTATTGGTAATTTTTTCCTCCAATAAGTATTTAGACAACCTGGGCATGGAGCATCAAAGTTCATGCTAACAAAGCTCTTCGAACGTCATCCGGGGCTAACGAATTTCGCCATTTATTGTGCTCAGCATGCCGAAGCTTTCTTCGAACTGCGTTAGATTGAGAGACTGCAGTTGTTCTTCATAAAAAAAGGCTTTAAAAAGGCTTCATGCATTCAAAAGTCTGTGAATTATTCACAATACGTGGCAGCTCATGAAATAAGTGAGAAGGTTCTCGCGGTATTTAAGTTTCTCGCGCCTCACTGATGACTTTTTGGCAACCACTAGAAGACAATGAAGCTTGGTATTCAATAACACACACCTAGACTCAAAGTGTGATACGTCGTAGTTTTGCGGCTGTTCGCAGCACTGCGGCCATGAAAAGTCCTTCCAGCCACAGGGTGAACAGTTTTCTAAACCGGAGAAATTAGAACTCAAAGCGAGATCAGCATCATACTCGTACCATGCGTTTTGTGCAAATTTTGTGCACTCACGTAGCGAGTTTTCTCGCAATCAGCTGTCAGTCTACCTTCGTCTTGAAGCAGAACATACAAAGACTTCCTCTACGATCGCGGCAGAGGACGGTTGGGCTGATAACGACCGTCTTCAAAGATGGTACGTGGATGTGGTGGTCGGAGTGAAGTCCAAAAGGTGGAAGCCTAAAATAAAGTATAATAAATAAATGTTGAAGTGAAATATGAGAGGACTGGCGGCCCCCTACGCCACAGTAACCAGTCTGAATGTCGACGAGTTCGACGAGGTCGTCAGTTCTATAGAATATATAAACATGGGTAATTGTGGCAACATCGCCATGAGCAAGACAGCTGCGTCCCCGGACGAAACTTCTGTTCACTGTGAACAGGAGGAGCCTGGCTCGAATGAGAAGCCACGGCCATAGAAATTAGAGAGAGAGAAGATTCGTTATTTTGTAATTAAAGTGGCGATGAAGATTTGAAGACGAATATTTCAGGTGTGCAACGGTAAAATAAGTTCAATAAAATCCGAGCCGACCACATTGCAAGCTCTTCTTGTGAGAGGACTAAAACAATACATTTTGAAACTTTAAAATAACTATTCGCAAAAAATATCAGAAAGATACTTCTTTACTAGTACCTGTAGTACTATTTGAAAAAAGAAAATCAACTGTATGTTTATTCCACGAATTGAAAAATACAACTTTTCCGTCCGAAGAAAAATATTTGGTTTTTGAGTTGAATAATTCAATTCGTTAACTCAATTAATCAAAGCGGCTTTTTGTTGACGAGTTTCATTTGAAAAACTTTCATTTTTCAACAAGGATAATTGTTTTTTTTAACCAACTTGAAAGAAGTCAAAAGAAGTCAACTCAGTCAAGCTCCATATTTCTCATACTCAACCAGTCGGCTGGTTCTAATCTATCTCGCTTCCAGTTCCAATTCCTCTCGCTTCGAAATCTCAACTCGTGAGTGGATCCCAATTCATTCAGTGTCGCTCTATATTGTACAAGGAACAAAGCTTATAGTTTCACTGATTAGTCTTGGTAGCCAAGACTAAATAAGATTAAAAAGTGGAGAAGAAGATTAGAACAGATGTCAATTTTATTTTTAGATCATATTTTCTCTTCTTTGAACGTCACGTGAAGTCGAACTAAAGCATGTTCTGATTATGAAAAATACCCATTTCGTGTATTTTCATCCTCTATTGATAGTGAGATTCATCAAAGATAGGAAATGAATCATTTCAATCGACAAAAATACTACTAACATAAATTTCATATGGTTTGCTCATGCTTCAATCATCAGATGTATATAATGATTAGATGTGTATTTTGTGTTTTGTGTAACCCCGTCGGTAACTAATCCTGGTGCTGTACAGTTTTCACAAAAGTTGTACGATTTTAAAGTTGGTAACCTTATTATTTGAAATTTCATCGGAGCAACACTGCAATCCGTGTATTTAGGAAGTGGCACAGAAATGAGAGAACGTCACACAGCCAAGATATATTGATTGCTCTATAATCCATCACATATTGAATGCAAGATGCGTGTCTAGACACGTCTGAAGAAACCATTGTATGACGAAACACGTGTTACATTTTTGTAAAACTGTTTAGTGAAAATCTCACAATAATAAAGGGTTTCTTGAATACGTTATGGATTTTTCAAGTATCTGTCAATTCCATCACATATATTGAATTGCGAAACACGTGTTGCGGTTTTGTGAACTGTACTGAAGCACAAGTTTTAATACTGATTGGGTGGTTTTCAATGCATTTTTTGATGAACAAAAACGATGACAAACCTACTAAAATCTTCGACATGAATAATTATATCTGCATATTTTATGGCATCTTCCTCATCACAGACGACCGTCACAGTATCCGGATGTCCATAAATACAGCGTTCATTAACTAAGTCTGCACACTCCTGCATAAACATGGCTTTATGTTCGATATGTCCAAGGGAGTCATGTAACTTGAAGGTGACACCACTAATTTTTTTTATTTCGTCGAGTTCGATCAAATCATGAAGAAGGATAGGAGTCTGAGGATTGCAAGCACCAAGAATGGATATATTCTGAACATAATTAAGCCGTTCAGCGTCAGCATGATGTTGTTCAAGAAAAAACTGAAAAACAATCGATTCAAGAAAATTTATAAAAACCGATGGAATAAAACACTTCACTCATTACTCAATCTAGAATATCATGTCAGCGAAAAACTTAACCACCACCACTGCGAATCAGTTCGAGCGAAAAAAGCAGCAGTGAAATAAGTATAGCAGTAATTTTCAAACTTCTTGAGACCGCGACCTCTTTACAACCAAAAGAAATTCTAGCGCCTCTGCAGGGACTAATTTTTCATTCAATGTACTGTCAACCAAGGTTTCACTTTCTGATTTATTTGAAGTACTTTAACGAGTAGTCAAAACTTGGAACTCCGTTACAGGCAGAGCTAAAAATCTGCTGTATCATATATAATACAGTACCTATTTAGGAACTGACAAGAATTGTAACCATGAAATTTTGTTACTGAATATTTTGAACAATACCCCCCAAGGACGAGATGGAAACATTTCAATTACTAGGGATGAAATCGAAGGAATCTTTCTTCGGCAATTTTCTTCATGGTCAATATCATATTAAGAAATATTCATCTTTTGTTTGTCTTCAAAAGTTTGTTGAAGTTGCAACGGGTCAATATTTTATAATGAATTTTCATATTGCTTCCGTGATACAAAGCCATAATTTGTAAACAATGTATCACCTTATTTTTTGCCACAATTTATAATATGCAGAACCAACGATCAATAAATACCAATTTTGGAATTCATATTGAGTGACGAGTCATCCTGATTTCGTCCAGGTTTGGAGACCAGCTCCCCTACCCTTTTGGCTGATTATAATCAATAATCAAAATAATAATTATTGGCCTTGAGAGGGGCCAATGGGTACACAACTGATAGATAACGGCATGAAGTCCTTAGACATCAGTGCCGCCCTTCACGGGATACCCCTACCTGGCTGGGGTGGGATGGATGAAAAAGTTATTCATCCTTTAACGGCGGACATGAGGGCCTCATTCGACAGAGTGTCGGGGCCTTCTATATCGGAAGGGGTCGTCTACAGCATAATCTGTGGCTTCCCTAACTAACGGGTTTTCATGAGTTTCCGTTTTTTCGAAAACTCTCTCATTCCTCGACTGAATGGACTGCCGAATGGAAGGCAGCTGCAAATCTCTGCGGATAGCTTCATTCCGCACGAACCAAGGAGCATTCACATTCATCCTAATTAACTTATTTTGCAACCTTTCCAAAATGGAAATGTTGGACGAAGCCGCTTGTCCCCAGACGCCTGAAGCGTACATGATGACAGGCTTGAACATCGTGTTGTAGATCGTAATTTTGTTCTTTAAACTCATCTTTGACTTTCTATTGATCAGAGGGTACAGACTGGCTATCCGACCCTCGATCTTAGATTTGACGTACATAATGTGCGGGTTCCAAGTGAGCCTACGGTCTATTAAAAGGCCGAGATACTTTACCCGCGCTTGCCAGTCAATCTCCCTTCCAGAGATTCTCACTTTTCTGGCCGGAGAAGATAGTAATCTTCCCATGGTTATCGCCTGAATTCATGTTGAATTCATTCACAGATCGGATATCTTACCTTTAAATTATCTGCAGCAAGTTTGGCGGTTTCCTCTTTTGAAATCAATGACTCGAGACCGTAGTAACAATAAACGTACTCCCAGAATTCACTGATACCTCCAATTAGATACTTTTTGCCTCCCCACATGTTTATTTCTTTCCATATTACGGGGCTTTTGTGGATAAACCATTTATTCTCTCTGTTGAGTTCTAAAACATGGTCCTACAATTTTGGAATGTATACTTTTCATTTAGTCATAATATTGCTTTTTACCGCCCACTCTGAGTCCAATTTTTCCACTTTTTTATATTGAAAATTCGGTAACTTTTCATTCAAATACCGAGCCACATGTAGAGCATGGCCAAAGCAGGCACACCTAGGGTTTCCGCTAATTACAAAATATGACATTTCCTTCTGATCACGATGACATTAAATTGTCAGTTGGTTTCTGTATACGCGATTGAACCCGCGATATTAGTAAGTTTCGGTAGCAGCATCGAATGATTTACTCAAAACACTAAAAGAATTGCAAAGTAAAGTTATGAACTCCATTTTCAAATTATATTTTGAAGAACCAACTATCAAGTTATTCAAACTAAGACTATATTATACAGGGTGATTCAAAAGTACTTTGACAAACTTCAGGAGGTGATTCCTCACAATATTCTAATATGAATTGTCCAAATAAATAAACGTCCGAAAACGCTTCGTTTCCAAGAAACAGGATGTTGAAGTTTTATTTTTATTTTCGTTTTTTTTTCAAATAACTTTTGAAATACTGAACTTAATTAAACGAAACTTGGTAATAGGAGGTTTTTGAGGTGTCGAATTCGAACCTGATGTTCTTATTGCTCTTACTCGTAGAGGGCGCCACCTAAACGTCTTTTTCTTTTTTAAAGATTCATAACTTTTTTGGGCGTACTTCTAGCACATTTTTCAGTAAAAAAATCGATTCCTCTATCATATCTACGTAAATAAGNGTAATAACTTCAACATGCATCGATTATCAAATAATCGACTTGAAGTTTTCAAGTCCAAATATTTAGAAAACGGTTGCTTACAGCGACTAGTAACAAGGGTAGCTTATTTACGTAGATATGATAGAGGAATCGATTTTTTTACTAAAAAATGTGCTAGAAGTACGCCCAAAAAAGTTATGAATCTTCAAAAAAAGAAAAAGACGTGTAGGTGGCGCCCCTTACGAGTAAGAGCAATAAGAACATCAGGTTCGAATACGACACCTCAAAAACCTCCTATTACCAAGTTTCGTTCAATTAAGTTCAGTATTTCAAAAGTTATTTGAAAAAAACGAAAATAAAAATAAAACTTCAACATCCTGTATCTTGGAAACGAAGCGTTTCCGGACATTTATTTATTTGGACAATTCATGTTAGAATATTGTGAGGAATCACATCCTGAAGTTTGTCAAAGTACTTTTGAATCACCCCGTACATATCAACCAAAAAGGTTGTCTCAAAAACTCCGTCACTTTTGAAGGACGCGCCAAAATACCAACCAATAACCAACTCCCCGTGAGGTGAGTGATCACTGGGTCAGAGAATCGTGTGTCCTAAGTAGACGCAATAGTCTTTTGCATTTATCGAGCCGAAATTTCTGCCTTGCTACACAAATCAGCATGAAATTGAGATTTAAAAGTGAAGAGGGTACTATTCCCCTAATAACTCTATCAATCAGAACAAATATTTTAACAGAGAGGTCTGGATAGAGTCTGCGAATCTCGAAGAGAAGATTTCGATACTTCCTTTGTTTTTCTCTCTTTTCGGACAGTATTCGCTTCAACCGAAGCCTTAAACTAAAGAACGAATCACCTTACTCTTTAATGGTCAGGCGGGCTTCATCAGGTTTATTAGTTTGTATCAGCCTAAAGGTGGGGAATGAATAGTTCCAATAAATTCAGCACTCCTCATTTCTCACTTGACACTTCACAAAACCGCAACACATGTTTCGGTTTACAATAGCTTCCTCAAGTGTTTGAGGAAGAACGGTTTTATGAACTGTGCTAATGTAGCAATAAAACCACATTACTGCCTCTAGTCTACAGTGTATCTGTCATTTTCATAGACATGATAATATGGACTGGCCGTGATGTCACTTCTACACAAATTCCACCTGCGGATCACATAACGTCATTGCCACTGAGTCACAGCACCTAGTAACAAATCAATTCTCAAAATCTTCACAATGGAAATATGCAACACGTAAAACACCGTGACGTGACTAACGTTAAGTGTGTGATGTAAATGCCAAGACGTGAATCTCTTCATCTTTTTTTATTTTTTAGAGTCAATGTTTGCTCTTCCATGGCCAATGCATATTATGAGGCCACAAGTCATTCTCCATTTTTGTGTTTTGTATATTCTACTAAATCCTGATTGAAATTGTTTTAAATAATGGATATATTTCGTATCTTGAATTATGTCATTAACATAACTATCAAGGACCCAATCAATGTCATTTGCTCAGTATTATCATCGTACATATTTCAGTGGAAATTGAAAGATCAACAGTTGATTAGAGAAGAGTCCCAATAAAATATTTTTGTAAAGAAGGAAATCATGTTATTAGGCAAGATATGTAGTAGAGTTGAAACCATTGATGTAATTTATACCATATCATTTTTGGTAAGTTAGATTAGTTGTCTAATGAAACTTAAAAAACTATGAAAACACTTGTCATTGCCTGTTTGGGTAACCAAATTAGCTCCATTTCTAATTTTCATTGTATTTATTGAATTCCAGTTCTACTGATAAATGACTTGGAATGCTTCTTTTTTAGGATTTGTTTGCTGTTGGATTGACTTTTCCTCTCTTCGCTACATTTTTAAGAGATTTGGGTTCTTCACATTCAACCATTGGTCTCCTTTCTGCCACATATTCAGGCATTCAGGTTTTGTCAGGTCCACTCATAGTAGGTTTCTTGTACTAATGGTATCTCAAATTTTGAAAAGCATTCATTTTTCTAGGGAAGCTGGAGTGACATAAGAGACAGAAAAACTGTTTTAAAAACTACTCTCCTAATATGTGCCTTCTGTTATGGTTTATTGGGTGCGACAAATTCGGTGGTCTGCATCTTCTTTTTGAGGATTGTATTAGGTAAGATAGAAACTGTACAGTTAATGAACATAGGTGAATGATTATTCAGATACAGAGGTAGCTTTTTAATTTTTGTTAATATTTGTTAGCAATATCATGAAAAGTCAAAATCCCGAAACTTGTTAATCCAACCTTAGGAAGGTAGGTACATTTTGAATCACAAAAAAAAAGAAGGAGGTATTTCTTCATTTTCTCAATTGATTTTGTGACACTGCCAACAGAACCAATGAAAAAGTACCTGGTGAAAGTGTCATTCACTTTCATAAACATTTATGATGTAGTTTGTTGAAAGATTCAAAAACTGGAAGTGGCAAGAAAGGTCACAGTATGCGATTCTGAAAAGAAGGTATTGAGTTTCTATTACCAGAAATAGTCATTTTTTCCATTTCTGGATGGCGATATCTCCAAAAAGTGCTGCGCCTTGACTTCATATTTGTGATCAACAGATACTTAAAACTACTTGAGTACAATTTTTTTTTAAGGAAAACTATCTAAATAATTACCCATTGGTGTCTAGGAACACAAGTATCAACCGCAATCTTAACAATTATATTGTAGTTGAAAAAATAATTGTTAGTCACAAAATATAAATGAACTCAAGCAAATCTGAAATTTCTTAAAAACCTTTTTTCAATACACATCCACCCTACATTCAAGGAGTGGGATTAGAAGAATTCAACAAAACTGAAAAAGTAGGTTATCTGTATAGGCTTTTTTTATATCAGAATATGTTTTAGTTCAATTGAGATCATTCATCAAAATCATAAGTAGTACCAGGCTAAAAACCGGTTATTGTGAAACTTTTCATTGTTTTTTAGGTATAGTCAAGCACACCCAAACAATATGCAAGGCAATGATAACAGATTTAATTCCACGAAAGAAACAATCTGAAACATTTGGCAAATCTGCCTCCCTTGCTTCCTTAGGTTTTATCATTGGCCCCTTTGTAGGAGGAAATTTGTCAGAATTAAAACATGGATTCACTTATGTTAGCATATTGACAGCCGGAATATTCTCAATTAACTATGGTAAGTAGGAAATTAGGTTTACTGAGTTCTTGAGATTTTAATTTGACATAATTTTGCAGTGATTGAAATAACCCCAAACAAAGTTAAAGTAAGAAGCATAAGGAATATTGTTTTTCCTTATATAGCTTTTCTTATATCTTCAAAACCCAAAAAGGTAGAGTCGATATTTTGGTATTCAAAAATAGGTTATTTTGCTACTATTTAGCTGACCCTCTATCCATTTATCACCATTCACAAAATACCAAGGTAGAAAGGATGTAAAAATTGAATAAATATAAAAGCTCTATGGGAAAATTTTTACATCTTTTATAGATATTATAATTGCACTAGTGTTCGGCACCGCACGCACGCGCCGTCGACCCCCGGCCGGTACCGCCGTCCTTGCATTTTAAATCTGTTATATCTCTGAAAGTATTCATTTAATGTACATGCTGTGAAGGACCACATTGATCTATATTAAATGAACGATGTATTTAAAGTACTCAATTGGATAAGGATTAATGCTATATTGCTTAAAATTGCTCCGTAAAAAAGTAAAGGATAAAAAATGGTTATTGTGGGTTATCCCTAAGAGATAGACATATCATCACGGACTTTTTTTGTAAACCTTTTTGAAGTGTTCAATACTGTAGTACATTATTTCAATATATCTTGTGGGGATCAGCCAGCATTTGCAATGTAAGCTCAAAAAAATTGTTTAGTTACGTCATCACATTACCTCTAAAATTATCAGTGTTTATCTACTATATTATGCATGTTATACACATATAAACTTTTCTCTTCAATTACTCTATCTATTTAAAAAACCTGAATCAAAATGTGTTGCGTAGTTTTAAATTCAAATCTTTATTTTGGAGTTGATTATCCTACATTAAAAAGTAGTCAGAGTCATAAACTCTTCTAAACTATAGAGACCTTCTTGTTGATGTCTTTCAACGAGGATGTCGCGACACATTGCTGACTACTTGATGTGGTCTACAAAGAAGGAGTTGTCAACGCATGGAAGAACTTATAGTAGATATATTTTCTAGAAGTTCTTCCTTTGCCTATCCCTTACTAGGAGTTGAAAGGTAAAACTATTCTTTGCTCACACAAGGTATAAGCATTGTAAAACTCATTTTGACCCATTTGTTTTGTTGAAGGATTGAGAATAGCTCAGTTGCAGTAAAGACATGATTTGTTATGTAGTGACTTCCTTGCTATTTGTGACGTTCTAAGTGACGTTCTGAGAGCTACAAATAATAATCTACACGAATCACATAGTTTTGTTGATAGTTTAGAGAAGTTGCTATCACTCTTATGCCAAAATAACTTGAAGACTGATTTTTACATAATTTACTATTGCCATATTGGACTCACCAACGTTCGATAATAGGTCCTTGATATAATTCATTTTGATATTTCCTCATACTTTTTGACTGTCAAAGACATGAATGAGATTTACTCACTTATAGATAATGTTCCAAAACTTATTATTTTTAGGAATTGCTTGCCTATTGCCAGAGACCACCCGAAGAGAAAAAACTGAAAATATTTCCATCTTGAAAAGTGTTAAGAAAGAGTTTGGTAAAACCGTAAAAGAGTTAGTTGACTGTGATTGGCAGGAACACTGGGATACTTTCCTGCTAAAGTTTCTCATGGGTTTGACGATGGGATGTTACTTCACGAATCAAGCCATTTATTTGAGAGAAACGTATCAAATGTCTCAAAAGCATATAGGATATATGATTTCATTTTTCAGCATGATTGGAATGATTTCTGGATTCTGTATCAACAAAATCAATTCTCTATACAAAGCAGACAGCATATTTACAAGACTTTGTCATAATTTCGCGATAATGACCTTCTCGTTTTTTGGTGTTTATTTATCACCTAATTTATTTGTATTTCTTCTCCTGCTTCTTCCCCTCGCATTTTCTGCTACTGCTCTCAGGGTAGGTAGCATGGAGCTGATGTTTTCAAAGTCTGAAAAATTACATAGAGGATCTTTATCAGGCACATCCAACAGTATTATGTCTGTGGCCAGGTTTCTAACTCCACTTGTAACTGGTTTTACAAGTGATATTTTAAGCGAACAATCTGTGATGTTAGTAGCAGTTTTTCCTGCTAGTTTAGGTTTGTTGCTTAGTTGGTTAATGAAAAGAAAACATAAAATCATTGTTAAAAATAAATAATTTTTTGTTGTTGAATAGTGTGCCTCATTCCAACTCCAGATCCTAGTGATCATCCATTTCAGTTTTATTGTGATTCTAATCCTTCAGTGTTATTGATATTCCTCTTTTTGTCTCGACAGTAAAATTACTGTTGATCAGGATTAATAGAAATAAAAAATCAAATATTTAGTTAAAATTCAATTGAACATAACCATATAAATTCCTTTGGGAAAATTTTTCTACAGAAACAATTCGAAATTGTTTGAATTCGTCTCTAATTTGCTTAAGTATTTTACAAGCGCATAAAAGTAGATATTTATTGAATAAAATGGAAAATTGAGGTTCCAGTAAGAAAATCACCCGCATTCTTTAAAAAACGTTTTTTATCTCCTGAAAATGCCACAGTTATATATAGCAGATTAAAACTCAATCATCTCTCGAGAGATTCAAAATAAATAATAATCTTTTCATAGCTGAATTGGAAGATATACTAAGTTTAATACATCCTATTGTAGATGAAATCATATGCGGCGGAGATCTTAACATAGATTTTCTAAATACCCATAATCGTTATGTAAATAAAATGTACCGCTGTATTTTCGCTATCTGTCAAAGTCAAACCAAATATAAATTTTTTGGGATTTCTTTTCAACAATCATGAATTTGGGGTTTTCTGAATGTTGATAGAGGAAATCGAGCTGAACGATCTGGCAATCCTGAATGACATCATAGCTTGATAGGTAGAATTTGAATCTTTGACTTATTCCCAAAATAAGTGAACTCTCACCTCGAGAGAGAAAGTCGCATGTCTCTGTCTTTTGTCAAAACAAGACATTTGATTTTCTGCGATGTGAGAGTTCACTTGAATCGAAAATAAGACCTTCAGCGTGAAATGAATTTATTGAAAATACTTGGTTAGCGAAACGCAAGTCTCTCGAAGCGCGTTTCGTTAAATTTTTTTGTGCGCATGCGTCAGTATCAGCCATTTTTTTTCGTACTGTTTTTTGAAAAGCCCGCAACCCATGTTTTAAAAATTATAATATAAATTGAAGTTTATCAATTGTAAAAAAAGTGAAAAAAATTAGTAAGTCAAAATAATCAGAAAAAAAATTCTATACTCCATTATAATTATGTTATCTGTACGAAAAGGAACAACAAAAAGGGGTTGTTATGAAGTATGTAAAAGTGATACACGATACAAATCATTCAAAACCAACACATAGGTACTATTTTATAAATTTTCCAAAGCCTGGTCTTGAATATCGCAAAAAAAAATAATTAAATCATCAAGCAAATTACATATTAAAACATGTGCGAAATGTGAATTATGGGTTAAAAAATGTGGCTGGAGTGACCGAGGCTTTAAATCTATTGATGATGTTACCAAGGATACTTATATTTGCTCACTACATTTCATTGGAGAAAGTGGTCCAACTGAACAAAACCCTGATCCGTTAAGCTATCAGGAATTTCAACATACGTCATTATTCCTTATTGCATTTTTGATTGTAAATTTCATATGTATTATGTTGTGTATTAAATATTTCCTTCTGATAAAAATTACTGAACATATTCAATTCAGTATTTTGATATTTGTCTAATTAATAATGTCATATGTACAGCCTCAAAATATTGAAGGCTTGATTTATTTATTAGTTCCATAAGTAATACTATTGTCAACTGAAATACATTTTCAATTACATCAAATAAATTGACATCATTAATAAGAATAAAACTGTAAATCCATTTTTTTTAATATGTATAGTAAACAAATGCTGATACCTAACCTCTCAATCAGCTCACTTTTTTTCCTTTTTACGGACGCCCATGACGTTTTAACCACCTTTTAATTGTTCACAATTATGAGCCTCAACTGAATTATCTACAAGTGAAGCAGTATCAATGGTTTTTTCCAATAATGTATTTGTTTGTAGAGATAATATTCCTTGCCCAGCCATTGTTGATTGAAACAGTACGAATGTTTTGATTCAAATACATTCATTCTGGCATTGAAACAATGACTTCACATCAACTATGATTTGAAACGTATTCATGATGATTCAAAACTAGCGGGAGGTTGGTTTTGAAACGAAATTTGAAATTGCGTTACGTCAGTTTGTTTTATTTTGATCGTTACAGTTTATAAAGTGCTGAAAACTTTTTATAAAATACGTTGTAATTATGTACAAAATAAACCTGATTCTAATTGAGGTTAGAGAAAATCGAAAAGTTTGCTTTTATTATTGAATATGGCATCTGACACAAATTGAATTATTCCATTCTGGCGATTCTTAAAATTAATGACGTCACTACTAATCGTTTTTGAATACACGCTCAAATACGATTAAACACAAGAAAACACCTAATTCAAAATTCGAGTTCAGAACCTATTACGTTTTCATATTTCGTTTATTCTGATTTGTTTCGCTAATGTTTATCGTTTTCAAATACATTTTAACAACTTATATAAAATTGTATTGACGATTTTATCAAATCTAGACCTAAGTTCGTTTAGCATAGAACTTAAGTTTTACTTCTGCGAGTCTATGCAAGGTTCTAAAAATTTGTCCTTGACATATGGAGCGAGCGCACTGGCAACCCTGTTACTGTCATTTTTTGCAAATATGATTTGGTTAAAGAAATTCAAAATGTAAATACCATCAGATAAAACTAATTACTTTAAACATTGTGAAATTCAATTAAAGCATGTAACCATCACTGAACAGATAATGTTCTTTAATCTTGCCTTGACCATTGGTGCTTGAAACCGCAATTCCAGGAAATAATTTTGTTGGAATAGTGAAAATGCAACAGTATTGAACAATTAAAAATCTTATAGATACTTTGAAAGCTACTTTTTTTCACAAAACTAAAATGGACACAGAAAAATTAATATTGAAGTTACAACTTATCACCCTCTTTGTGAGTATTCCAATTTTTATTTGATTTTCTTAATGAAAAATTCATTTCAAATTTGTATTTATAGACATGTTTGTTAAGAAAGACCCAGGAAATTGAATACAATTTTTCAGGATTCCATTAGCTTTGGACTAATTTATGCATTTCTTGCTCCATATTTGATGGTCCTTGGTGGCGATAATGTTACCACTGGAATGTTGGCAGTTTCTACTCTCATATGTGAACTTATATCAATTAATATTGCGGTAAGAATATAAAATCAAGTTTAAATGAAGTACTGATTTTCTTTTTCAATTAGAAAGACCTTATCAAAGCCCAAGGCAAAAGAGATGCACTTTTCACTATGTTCAGTATTGGTGTTGTCTCACATGTCCTGCTTGTTTTAACTAGAAGTTATTGGTTTACGATTTTTGCCAGATGTCTATTTTGTAAGTACAAAATCTACTCAGTTTTGAAAAAAACCCTCTGTGAAATGAATATTTCAGCTTTAACAAACCAAACCCAAAACATTGTCAAAGATCTGCTCGTGAAGAAAGTATCTGAAGATGAGGTTGATTATCATTTGATGGTATGCAATATTTTGAGATCATCTGGATTTCTCATAGGACCAATTGTCACTGGATGTTTATTTAATATTGGCTTTTCTTTGAGTTGCATTTTGGCAGCCTTTTTGACACTTTTAAGTGCTTGTAAGTAAATATTCGGGATACATTTGTTCTGAGAGCTGAGGTAAAGAGTCCCCCTTTCAACTTTCATTTCTCCCAATAAGAATTAACATTAACCAACTTCTTGATAATAATCTAGTGAATATTACTTCCTTAGATTTTTGTGGGGTTTTGTAAAATATGAAGTATATACACAAACGCAGTCCATTCTGAAACTCATGAATAGAATAAGAGGTACCTTCATACTGTTATGAATGAATTTGTAAACACACTGGGGTGAGGTTTGAATATCATTTTTATTGATTTTTTTTATATTACCCGTTTTTATAGATTCTTTAAAAGAATATAAAACTGCTAGTTACTTGGAAAAGGATGGTCCGTTGTCAAAAGTGTTGGAGAATTTAAAGACCCCAGTTAAATTTTAAAACAAAGTTGATAGCGACAATGACAAGTGATGAACATGTTGATTTCTCATTTAAAAAAAAAAACATTTTTTTGTTACATAATCTTTGTTTGAACATGATATGTTTTTCGATTCAAAAGTTGAAGGGGGCACTTCTTACATTATCACTGTACAAATTGATATAATCCTCAGAATCGTCTGAGTAAATAATCGTTACTTCATGAACATATAAATATAATACAATTTTTAGGCCTCGTATTAGCCATTCCAAAAGAAAAAGACGACATTCCAACTGAAGGGGCTGATAAAAGTTTAATTGAGCAAACGGTTGAACAAGTTTCAAAAACCATGGTTTTATTCAGAAAATCTAATTACAAGAAGAACTGGGACTTGTTGGCTTTGAAATATCTCTACATTTCCAGTGTAACGATCTTTTTTGCTAAATTTCCCCAAATTTTAATATACAATTTTAATGCTGATGCTTCAGTTGTGGGATACACTACTTCCTATATGAACGCAGTAACATATATAGCAACATATTTGGCTGTTACATTAAAAAACAAATACGAACATGTTCCGATGTCGATACTAATTTATCAGGGTTTGTTGATAACATTTTGTTCATTGTTAGCAGCCTGCTATGCTCCTGTTTATACTGTTTTTGCCCTAGCTTGTATCCCCATTATATTTGCAAGAAATTACATAAACACTGTTTGGGAAAAACTATATTCAAACAGAAAAAACAATAGTTTATATGCTTTGAATGATTGTGTAGGTTTAGCAGCAGGCTTATCAATGCCTCTTTTATTTGGGGTTGTTTGCAATATAATCAGGCATAATGCTGTCATAATATTCTCAGTAATACCTATTATGATTTCATTGTATATTTTTAATACATATACATGTAAAATCAAATCTTTAGAGGAAGATGCAGATAAAACTAAAAATGAATAGTTTATTTTAAATATTTTACTAGTACAGTTATTTGTAAATTCAAATAGCTTATGATTGTTACATAAATATGCTGTGATATAACTTGAATTCATGAAATAATCTATCAACTTTATTAGTGAGGTAGAGGAATCTAGCCAATGTGTTTCATAATTTGAAATAAATTCCAAGATACTTTCAAAAGAAGCTTCCATTAGAACTTATTTTAAATATTACACTGGATTAGGTAATTGAAAGTTCAGATAGCTTGAGATTGTTGCATAAATATGCTGCTGTGATATAACTTAATCTAGCCAAGATTTTTCTTGATCTGCCACAAATAACAGTATATTTTCTAATTAGGCTTCCATTAGAAATTGTTGAACATTTTGTAATAATTTTACATTTTGTACATTCCAGATTATTATTTTTGATCAAATATAGTTTTACTTCGCCAGATAATAGTTTTTTTTAAACTTGTGTTAAGCTTTGCAGATGCTATAGCCTTGACTACAAGTATGTGTGATTGATGACTTGTTTATTTTGTGGTAATTTGTGATCACTTTAATGTAATGAATAAAAACACTTTTGTCTAATTTCCACTAGTATAAATAAAATTAACTAGTGGAAATTAGACAAAGTGTCCTGACTGCAAGATCATGAAATATTTCCATAAAAGATATACACATTTCAGAGTATTAATAAAATATTCTTCCCAAAGTTATGATGTCATTTCAACTGTTAAAATTGAACCTAACTTTTTTTTTTGATACTTTCATACTCAAACCATGTCATATCACAAAGTAACATAAGTCTAGTCCATTTATTGCATCGTCTGGAGTTCCCCAGGGTTCCAACTTGGGTCCTTTGTTATTTATTTTATTTATCAACAGTCTTGTAAAAAATATCACATCATCTTGCTACTTATTGTTTGCAGATGACTTGAAAATTTTTAGAAGAATTTTAATAGTTGAAGATTGTGTACATCTACAAAACGATATGAATAATATCACTGAATGTTCAAAAAAGCACAAATTGTTATTCAATGTTGAAAAGTGTAATACTATGACCTTTTTGGGAAAGAAAGTTTTTCGTAGTAGAAAGCCAAAAACTTTTTTTCCCAAACATTAATCACTCCTAAAAATATAACCCCTTCAATTCAAACTATGACCTTCTCGCGGAAAAAAGTCAGTATAACATACAGCTACGAGATGGACGGTATAAAACTCATCAGAACTCGAGAATTAACAGACCTTGGTGTTACTTTTGAATATGAATTATCACTTAGATCTCATATACTGAATATAACAAACAAGGCCTCAGAGATGTATGGGTTTGTAGTTTGCAACTCTAGGCAATTCAACAATATTACCTGCATTAAACATTTGTATATGTCACTCTTATCAGAAGCATTTTGGAATATGCTTCCATTATCTGGTGTCCTCAATATAATTGTTACAAGTATAGCATTGAAAGAGTTCAAAACATGTTCCTGAGATATCTTCACTTCAAAGAAACAGGTAACAATGGCCTTTATATTTCAAAAATAGTGCTACTTGAAAAGTACAACATACAAACTCTTCAGAAAAGAAGAGTATTTGCATACTTAATACAAGATGATACATGGTGAAGTGGATGATCCCTGTCTTCTATCAAAAATCAATTTCAATGTACCTGCTTATGAAACTAGATCGTTTCCCACATTTTATATTGAATCGGCAAGAACAAATTATTATCAAAATGTCCCATTAAATGCTATGTGCAATTCCTATAATAATGTACGAAATGACTGTGATAGCTTCTTTCAAAATCTTACTAGTTTCAGAAATAGGTTGTATGAAATTATTTCTCTTTTTTTAAAACTTTTGATCATTTTGTTGTATGTACAAATCTATTTGTGATATTTACCTTTCCTACTCTGTAACTGGGCCATGGTCTGTAGAGTTTGTAAATAAATAAATAAATAAATGAAAAATAAATTCTGAATTTATATAATTCATTTATATAATAATCACAAAAAAATGCAAATTCCTCAGGGATATAGTTCAGTTGATGTTGAAACTTAGACAAATTTGAGTTCAAGAGTGACATTCATAGAGATTTATTTGAATTTCCTAAAAACAATTAACATTGTTTCATAATAAACTCCTCAAGAAGTAATAAATACCTAAGTTCTCTCAAATGCATAAATAGAATATGATTTCAAGATTTTATGAGGAAGTTTCCTATAATTCAGAAGATATCTCTCACGATTTTTCAAAGAAATTATTACTTCAGAAACTTCAAATGACTTGAAGAGTATGTGTGGCAGAGTCCCTTTTTCATTCATGAAACTAAAGAATAGTTGTGAAATCTGGCAACCATATACATGGGTCTGTCTCCATACCTCTTTCTGTTTGTGATGCATGGGGCCACATAACTTCAGCTCAATCATTGGTTATGAAATGGTATTTGTCACTTTTAACCAAAAGTGAAGTTAGAAATAGGAGCAACACACGAAGAAAAAACATGCATTGTGGAAATCACAAGTGACAGTGAAGTTTTTACTAGTATTTATACTATGTCAATCTTCAGTTTTATCATAAAAAAAATATACTTTTTTTTCGTTAACCATAGAAAATTTTTTCAAAAGCAATCAATTTGTTTGTCTTAAAACTCGATATAAGAAGAATGAAAAACAAAGTAAATTGTACTTTTTGAGTTCCTTTCATTTATAAATATTACATAGACTACTAATTGGCTCGAAGTATTACTTTCATTTGCACTGGCTTTTAGAACACTTCGACAAACTTAAAAGATTAAATAACCTGACAAATTCCACAATAAATAAAATGATTTTAAGCTATTCACTCATCAATCACAACATTCTTGTTGAGAAAAAAATCAATTTTATGTAAGGCCTTCTGTTGCTACTTGGAGATAATCAATTTGAGTAAATAGAGACTAGGTGAAATATTTATTTGCTTTTCTAACCAACTGTTACTATAAAAAATACGCTAGTGGTATTGATCTTATCAAATGGACAAAACAGTCTTGGACTCTAGTTTTTTCTTTCTCTGTTACTTACATCATCACTTACAGAATTTAGTATGCAAGGTGCTGTAGAGTTTTTTGGCTTTTCTTGTCCCAAAACCAGGCATTTCTGCGATTTGAAATTCACTTGCTTGTAAAATACCTTTCAGAGTCTTATATTTGTCAATCAAAGCCATGGCATCAGATTTGTTGACAGGTTTTATAGATGTTAAAGCCTGAATAAGCTAAAAATTGAAAATCACCTAATAATTCAATACACCCAAATACTTGCTACTTACTCTCAAATGAGGAGAAGATTCACTCTTTTCTTTAATATTATCAGCAGGTTTATTTTCGTAAATTTTATAGGTTTCTATTATTTTCCCGGCTTCTTCAGAACTCCAAGCTAAGATCAAGGTTAAATCAGCCAGGATGCATATTCTTGTTAAATTTTTCAACACATGATGAGGATCTTTGATATCAACCTAGAGAAAAAATATTAAGAACGTTCTAATTTGACAGATAAAAATAAATCTGATTGAAATATTTATAGATTTCAAAATATCATTTTGATAAATTGTTATCCCATGTGCCATAAGCGAGGATTAAAATGTATTTTTATGAATACACTTCATTCAAGATTCTTTGTGGATATCATAAAAGGGAATTTCATTATTAGTCAGCATAGAGAATCTGTTTAAAATCTATTTTTCCGTTAACCAGCTGTCACACCCCTACGAACGACAACCATCAGAAGTCAAAACTTGTGCGAGTTAAGGATTCCTAACACGGGAGGGGAATATGATAAAAATGAAAGGAAAAATAAATTACAAGCGATCTGAGTTCAGCAAGTGGGAGGAAGTGATTTTATAAGGGTAAAAAAAATGGAAACAACACTATTACAGACACATTTATTATGTGCCAAGATAAAATAATTCTATAGTTTCAAATTGAGATAAATCTTCTGTCGATTCTATTAATGATTTCTTCGTGAGAGGAGATGAGAGGCACAGGTTTCATCTGATAACAAATTATTCAGCAACTAGTCATATTCTAAATGCACACATCTAAATAACAAGAGATGCTTGTATGAGAAATAACATTTCAGGAGTCAAATTCATTCTGTCTTCAAAATTAACTGAAACTTAATTTAAAAAAAAATGCACACATGATGATTGAGATTAACCTTTACAGAAATCTAGTTAATGCAAAGCAAAGCATCTAGCAAATGAATAAGTTGAAAAAATTTGTCTAATGCAACAAATATATTTGAATGGATTGAATATACTGCCCCTTATAAAATTTGATATCAATACATAATACAAGAAGTTGCTGAATACTTTGGCATCTTTCCCTAACTAGATGAAACTGTATATTAGCACACCAACTTTTTGGGGTACACTGCATCACATTAATCAATAAAAAATTACTATTCTCTACAAAAAAATAATCTTCGCCAACTGACAAATGCTTTATTAAACTATGTAGCTTTCTACTGAGAATTCAATATATTTGTCAAACCAGAAAATCTCATTAACAATGTATATTCTGCATAGTAAAGATATATAAAAATAATAAACCTGAACAAGTAAAACTCGTAACTGGTACATCTGTCCAAGCTTCTTCAGTCTATCATGAATATAATCTGGATTCAAATTGTGATAACGTAATGATAAAAATAAGGCACATATTGATTGACCCATTTGATAATCTGGAACAATATCGTCATATTCCCAAGTAACATTATGTATAGCTTTGAGTAATGGATTTCCTCTTTGTTTTTGATTTACCAAAATACTGTGAGTTTTTGTTGAAACTTTGCCTGTTTTTTGGCCTGGATCTGAAGTGGAAGGACCTAAAGAATTGAATAAACAATTAAATAAATGTTGAAGGATTGGACTTCCATTGTCGAACTAACATTTTTCAGTTGTGAAGTATATAGGTGGGTTCAATAATGATTTTTCAATAGCTTTGGCATAATCAGTACAAGTGGGAGTTTAGAAATATAAACACAAAGTAAATAAATAAAAATCAGGACAATATTGCTTGCCAAAAACATTCATTTACAAATAAAGTCACCATTGGAAAACTGAAAAGGAGCAAACCCAAGTACAAAAACACAGCTTTCGGAAAAATATAATTATTCCTCTGTAAAAATATCCTCTGAAAATTCCTTATGGCTGTAGTAACATTTGTCCAGTACTAAGTTTTCAACTTTATTACTGAACATTTTTCAAGATTTTGATCTCTTAATAGACAGTAGCAGTCTGTTCGTTATAAAAATTGATGACATGCGAAGAAACTTTTAGAAGTGGCAAGGTAAGCATTCTGATCGTGAATGGTTAACTTTGTATCAAGGTTCCTATATACAAAAATGACACATTTCATAAAATATTTGAGTAAATAGGTTTTTCCATTACGCAGCTTCCTTCCATTCATGAATGGCAACTCTCTGAATTAGAAACGTCTTAGTTGTTACCATGCAATTCTCAATAAGAGCCAAACGATACTCAGTAAAAATACAGAGGAATCCTCATCAAACGCTTGCTTGAAACTGTTCCCATCATGTTCCAGACCAAATATTGAACCTACATTTACAATAGCGGGAATTTTATAAGTAAATCATCAACTGACCAATGAACCATTCTTAGGTAGACAATGGAAGTCAGCTTGAAAACTTTCGATAAAGTACATTGTCAACAACTTTCAAACCAAACATTTATGTTGGAAACGAACCCGCAATTTGTGCATCTAATTCATTAAAGTCTTCGTCGAATTCTGCAGCCACATTTGCTAAAGAATCATCCATTTGATTTTTTTTTTCAGTTCACAAAAATTAAGTTACTGAGATACTATTCAAACCTCCTCAATTCCCTGAAACTATTTAGAGTTTCATTATAATAGTGACTTCTACAGTTTTGAATTATGTTCGTGCTCTTTTTTCGTTCCTCACTCATTTACTATTCATTTATGCCTTCCAAAATCATAACTCAAGAAATTGAACGTTGACCATTATTAGTTAGGTTAGGATAATTTTTGGCGGGAGATCCACTTTCAAATTTTGAATATCATTTCTCACAGGAGTTCAGTTTCAAAGTAAGAAATCGAGTAGCAAGAAACTTTCTTATCATAATATCGAATGCCTTCACCATTCATTTGTCAAATGCAATACATATTTTTCAAATATTCCTTACAATGTTTTCTTAAATTCAAATTTAAAGTGAAAATTTGGAAATTTTCTCAAAAACTGATCTCCCTAAAAATATACCCCTTTCGATTTGAGCATATTTATCAGTATTCTTACATACGGTGACTCAGCACTCAAAATATTGAAGCACCCAATAGCGACAATTAATACCCGTTTTCAACTTAACAATCGAATTTGTTTCGCAAATGAGCATTAATTCATGGTTTTTCAGATAACCGCTGTCAAAATTTCTGTTTGTGTTGAATAGCTTTGATTACTTTCGAACCATACTCTTGAATCCATTAGTGATGTTTGCAGATTGAGTATGATGGATGGGATTTTAGCAATAATAAAAAATGCAAAAAATAATTTCAATACACACAAATCAAATCAAATGCATAGTTTATAAAATTTCTATTGAATAAAGCACTCCACCATTTTTTTGCATTTAAGAACTTGCCTAAACGTAAATTGTCTCTTTTACTTTGACCTCAGAGTAATTTGCCTTTTATTACTCTGAGACTTTGACAGACAGAGTGACAGCACTCTGCGCCAGACACTGACAGTAAAAGTTGTCAAAAGTTTATTGGTTATAAAATATATATCTTTCTTGAGTTTTTCAAACTTTCTTGTTGGAAATATATTTTAAACGAATTTTTACATTATATATCAGAACTTTCCAGATATGTCATATATAACAGGACCAGAAGTAGTCCAATACGCCTGTTCATGTGGTCTTTTGAAGCCAATATCTTTTCTATATTTCTGTAGATATTGTACGCAACTTCGATGTAGTTTTTGCGTTTGTCATGAGGTAGTTATACGTTAAATATTTTGTCAATAGTTAAAAGTTGCTTATCCCCTTAGGTCGATTCAAATTTCTGTGGGAAATGTTCAGAGAACATTCCATCTTCAGAGGCCCGAGTGAAGAAAAACAGATGTGGGAATTGTTATGTCTGTCCTAGTTGCGAACAGGAGTTGTCTACTAGAATTGCTTCTTCTAAAGCACCTACCGATCCAGAAGATGCAAAAGCTACTCCCAAGAAAATGTACTATTTGTCTTGTCAGTTTTGTAGATGGAGCTCAAGGGATGTTGGTATACCAGACCAATCCACAGGTGAGTTAAATCGAACACAAACATTGCTCCCACAAACTAGGACTGCAACACTCTTCTTGACATGTATTATACCAAACAAGTTGGCGTTTTGATCTAAATTTTGAAATTTTCCGTACGGCAACTGAAAACCAAAACTACTACACTTAGAACATTGAATCCGTAAAGATGATATTTCTCTAGATGGATTATTTAAAAAAAAAAGCTTAGTTTTCTATTTTTCCATCTCCATATAAAATCTATGGGATACTTTCAAATAAGGAAAGAAATCCAAGTTCAAAATAAACTCTACTAAGAAATGTAGATCGGTGCGAGAAGTTTCTTTCAGATAGGAACTGAAACAAAAAAAACGCATTCAAAACAACTATTTTCAAACAAACGAACATTAAATAACACAAATCAATTTTTCCTATTAAGTAGAAAAAGATATCGTTACAGAAACACAACACAACATAATGTATGAAGTTTGTCACATTTTTTTCTACAAAGATGGAGAAGTAGAAAGCCAAATGTATTATTGCGGCCATTCACCACTTATAGTATCTGATAATGAAAATATTATTTCAGTTACTGGAGGCTGGCCTGAAAGAGAGAATGTCCATTCATATCGTTTACAAGAACTGCTTGACATGTATAAGGCCATTGTACTAGCGCAAAAGCAACAACAAGAAAAGGACAAGAAAAAGCAAAGAGGAAAATATTTGAGTTATACTGTGAGTACCCAGTGGGTCTCAGAATTGTACAACATTTTACTATTTTCTTTTTTTTAGTTCTGAATGAACTGTTGTTCACGTTAACTACGTTTGAGGTAGATATAATATCACAACTATTTTCAGGACAGAACTGGTGTAACGGCAGCAGCTCTGAGAAAGCGTATTGGCCTTCCAGCTGATTTAACTCACCCCCTTCTGAAGAGTAAACCTAAAGAACCTGAACCAGCTAAGGCTAAAACAGAAGTGGAAAAACTGCCAAAAAGCATTTTCACAGAACCAGTTAATTTGATGGAAAGTAAGAATTTAGACTAAATCATATCATATCTTCTAAAAATAAGGCTGTTGCTGATTCAATTGGGAAAAAGTTATTCACTTTTGGCTTCGTGAAAACCATATTTTTCAACGATGTACAGTGAAAAAAAATGACTCGTCTATTTTAACATCTTACATCTTGAAACAAAATAGACTTCATTGAATATTAAAAAAAAACTCTGTTAAAGTATATGTGAGAAGTGGTTCTACAGGATTCTCTACATTGAAAACCGTACATGACCCTTATTATCTTTTTTTGTAAGGAGAATACTCTCTTGTGTTCAATTGCAATTCACCGTGTTGCAATATTAAATAATATGTGGCTGCAAGCAAAAGCATAATATCATTTCAGGAGCCCTGTTCTATCTAAAATTCATTTCATTCTGAGAATTGCCTAGTATGCTTTGTTTAGTTGTTTACAAAGTCTATGTGAGAAGAAAAACTGAATGTATTTGAAAATTTTCTTTTTTCGTTTTATCCTTATTTTAAGTCAGACGATTTTTTTGAAACCATAATTCCATTTCAGTAACAGTCGTATTATTGTTCTTGTATTATTGTTTTGTAGAAATTCATATTGAATTTAGGATAAAGGAAATAACTTTTGTCGAATTTCTATCAAGAATTTTAATTGTTACTACAGGTTTCAGTTTATTAAACCTTTTTAAAAATTGTTCAATGAATTGGAACTGTTCCTAACAAATAAAAATCTTAGTAGAAATCATACAAAAGTTATTTTCCTTATTCTATGTTCTTGTAGAGCTCTCCATGGGTTTCTCGACATACTGTGATTGTTATTTCATCTGCAAACATGGTGACTTTTCCAGTGGTCAAATGGCTTAAAAAATCATTTACAAAAAGTAGAAAAATCAAGATTCGAAGAACAGATCCTTGAGTTGCTCCTAAAGGCACTATTTATCTGAAAGTTGTTAATCTAATAAGTATGCTCCTATTTCTTAGATTGAAATGAACCATTTTAAAAAGGTACCTCTAATCCCCAAATAACCAATTTTTTCAGATTGAACTCAATATTTAGGCAGTCAAAAGCCTTTGAGATATCAAACATTAGCTACATAATATTTTCAAATTAGGAAGTGAGTCTGTTCTGAAGGGGAGAAAATGAAAAAGTTTGTGAAATCAAGGTTACTTGAGAATCTACAAAATTATCAGTTTTAGTTTTGTAAATTGATGAATTTTGAGAAACTGGCAGCTAATGTTTATATGGTGATTCTGTAACTTTTTATTCGAATCGGGAAATGGATTATAAAACTTTGTGAACTTTGTGAACAGGGTGCTTCAGAACCTAAAAAGTTAAACAGAATGATAGAAAATGGTAAAATGTATTGTAGATGTCATGAAATGATGATTGGCAATTCAGAATAAAATTTACACTTTTTGAACAGCTGAGGTATTACTGTTTATCAATTCTTTCATATAAACAAAAGTTTCAAAACTCAGGGTATTAAGTAGACGAGTATATGTAGCTACCTATCCTTTTGTTGTATCAAGATAAATTATTCTGCTCATGACTAAGTTATGTGGCAATAGCTAAAATTTTAATATATAATATTGAATTTGTGTCTGTGAAAGTCATGTAAAATTTCATTACTGAATTTGCATATCCATTGCATTTGAAATATAATTCCAATAGATGTATAGCATTGTGTATATCATAATAGACATGATATATTATGATATACACATATATACACAATGAACTACATTGAAAACTCTTTATAACAACTACTTTTTTCCATCAGTTTAAATATTGAGTATATTATCCAAATTCTCTATAATTCGTATCCCCTTTATTACCTAAATAATATAACATTTGTTTATGATATTCATTCTCAACAAAGAGGTTTTGGCAATATGTATGTTGTATCGTAGCTGTGCAATAGGGTTATAAAAGGCCCTTTGTATTAGAATATATAACATGTATGTTAGAACAGTTGCGACAAAATTACTACAAACAGTATTTTTGATCATTTTTTAATTTTTGATAATCTTTGGCACAGACTTAATCAAAGCAAAAAGATAAGTGGATGCAAAAAAGTGTAAATATTATGTGATCATCAATTCTGATGATTGAATTAGTTCATTTATTTTATTTGCTCCTTTTATCATATGTATATGAATCAGCTTATACTATTGGGGTATTAATTTGTTTCATCGTCTCACAAGTTTGATATTAACAAATATGTGAAGATGAAATCAACTTATATTAAGATACCAATGGATAAATGTAGATGCCAATATTTTTTAACAAGGGTAAATAATGATATGCCATTCTTTCCTGTCCCAGTCTGAAAATATCTAATTTCAGTTAATACTTTTGCTATCATCATTAAATTTCCTATAATTGTTCTCTTCCTGCAAGTGTTCCCTTCCTGCAGTTTTGAAATAGAATATTGAAATAATTGAATCATAATTTTTTCTGGCATTGAGCTGTCCTTGAAAATGAAAATACAGAACATGTCAACCCAATCAGTTATATGGCCAAAAGCAATACTTTTAATGTTTACTAATTTCAAACATTCGCAAGGTGTAGGATCATTTATTTTCTGTCACTGAACCATGATTAAGCTGCTTGGCACCGAAACAAACGCCCACATACATCTCACCTTGGCATTGCAAGTGTTTCATAAACATGTATAATATCTAAATTTTATGTTGTATTCAGTAACTACTATAGAGCAACGACTATTGCAACCAGAAGCACAACCGACAACAGTGGACAAACTCTTTCCAGTGCACAAGCAGCTATCGATCAAAAGAACTGTGCGCTGCAAGACTTGTGAGCACAATGTCAGTAAGCCTGAGTACAATCCTAGTTCAGTGAAATTCAAGATCCAGCTTTTTGCTTAGTGAGTATTTTTACTTCATACTATTAAATTCACTTGTATTACTGAACGTTACCAGCATAGGAATAATATAAAGAAAATTACTATTCCCAATAAATAAAAAAAGTATATTGGTCAAATTGGATAAGCAACTAAATTTCGTTTCAATGAACACACGTAAGGTATTGAATTTGGAAGACCCAAAAAGTCTAGTTTTACTAGATATGATTTTTAAAGAAATCATAATATTGATGACAGTTCTTTGGAGTTATTGAGACCTGAAAGTCTTCATTGTTTCAGAGTTACTTGAAATGGTTGATGTGCCAAATATTTTTCAATTCATTCTTTGTGAGAGGTCAAAAAGACAACATGCTATGTAGCTTGCTCTTGATTGGTTAATTATGCTGACACACCCTCTAAATGGGTTGGAGTTTTGGATCCAGTTCCTGACCAATAATCGCTTTTCTGGACAAATAATGATAACAATAGTTTTTCAACTGTGAATTGGTGGAAGTGTTAGTGCGCCCGACTCACGATCGGAAGGTCGTGAGTTCGATCCTAACTCTTTACAGATATTTTTCACAAGATAATTCATTCAGTTGAAGTTAGATATTCTGCACGTTACATTGCTAACGGACTATAAATAGTCATCTTGATCCCTAGGTGTCTCGAGAATTTATTAACGTTGCCCACCCATAACTCAAGATTAATCACCAAAGCAGCCGATGTCATTGATACCAAAAAAAGCAATGATTTTCTTTCTTATTTCATCATAACATACGTGAAAATGAAAACTGTAAAGCCTATGAGGAAATGTAGTCCCACCATTTTTTTAAACAATGATAGGAGGAATAAATACTGTCAAGGATATATCTGAAAGTGCTAGTATTTTTAATAAATACATCAAATTCTAAACCCTTTCTGGCATTTCTTATAACTAGAACATTCAGAAAAGGTAGCTCTTCGTTATTTTCAATTTCATACGTAAACTTTCCATTCTGAGATCTGTTGTTAAGTCAAAGTACAAAATACCTTACCTTACTCCTATTCCAGTCAAAAATGGAAAATACATTATCCGCATATGTGAAGTTATATTCTTTCTTTTTTTTTTTTCAAATCTGCTAATGAACAGATTAGTCATGAAAGGAAACAAAGTGTTGCTCATTATCGTTCCCTTATGCCGTAAAAACGGTTAGCGAACTGAAAACCATGATGATTCTTACAAATTTGTGTGAATTGGATGAACTTTTCGACTACTTCACCACAAAGTTCATTTGTTTCTAAGAGGTAATTGAGGTTTGAAATATTCATTAAACTATTACAAGAAGCAATGTACAAACCCTTGAAGGTTGATGATTGGTTCAACTGTAACAGGCTTCGCTTAAATGACTCAAAAACTGACTATATTGTTTTCTCTCTTAGAAATCATGACATGGAATAAAGCCTATGAGGAAATGTAGTCCCACCATTTTTTTAAACAATGATAGGAGGAATAAATACTGTCAAGGATATATCAGAAAGTGCTAGTATTTTTAATAAATACATCAAATTCCAAACCCTTTCTGGCATTTCTTATAACTAGAACATTCAGAAAAGGTGGCTCTTCGTCTTTTCCATTTCATACGTAAACTTTTCATTCTGAGATCTGTTTTTAAGTCAAAGTACAAAATACCTTACTTTACTTCTATTCCAGTCGAGAATGGAAAATACATTATCCGCATATGTGAAGTTATCTTCTTTCTTTTTTTTTCAAATCTGCTAATGAACAGATTAGTCATGAAAGGAAACGTGTTGCTCATTGTCGGTCCCTTATACCGTAAAAACGGTTATCGAACTGAAAGCAATAATGATTCTTACAAATTTGTGTGAATTGGATGAACATATCGACTACTTCACCACGAAGTTCATTTGTTTCTAAGACGTAATTGAGATATTCAATTGTTTTTAAAATTAAGACACTTGGAAATAAAGAAGATACTAATTAGTACAGTTTATTGTATGATTTTCACTATAAAAAGTTTTACAAAAACCGCGATACTTGTTTTGCTATAGAATAGCTTCCTCAAGCGTAAACTAAAAGTTACTTATAAATTACAACTATTTTATACTCTAACATATTACCTACTTGTATGCCTACTTGTATACTCTCCAACAGGTTGAGTTTCAAACCTTTTTTCTTGAAATGGAGGGGCTTAAAATCATGGTTGAACTCATGTTCCTCTGTCAATGAATGAGTGGTATATGTGGAATTGATTTTTCCATTCTGAAAACTATTTTTGTGTTCCTTGATGCATGCTTTGAACGTTCTTCCAGTTTGACCTATATAAAACATCGGACATGACCCACATGATAATTTATACACTCCCGATTTTTCTGAAACTGAACTTTTGTCTTTTTTATTCTTGATGTGCATGCCTAAGTTGTTATTAGTTTCGAAAGCAATATTTACACCTTTGTTGTGCAGAAAATTTTAAATATTTATAGTGGGTTAGCCTAAGTATGTTAAGGTTCTATAACTTGTATCCTCTCTTGGAATTGGGTAAACTTTCTTCATAGCTTGGTTGTATAACTTTTTTGATAATAGGGAATGTATTAGACTGCTATCTTAATCATTGTTGACGGCTATTTGTTTTATTATGTTCAGTACTTTATTGAAATTCGCCTCTGACAATGGCACATTTATGAGACTGTGGATTATACTGTTGAAAGCTGCTACTTTGTGCTGATACGGGTGGGTTGACGAATTATGAATGATCATATCTGTATGTGCCGGTGTACGATAAATTGAAAAATCATGTTTGTTGTTAACTTTTGTTATTGTCAAGTCAAAAAAATTTAAAGAGTCGTCCTTTTCCATTTCCATTGTGAATGTGATAGAAAGGTGGAAAGAATTGATGAAATTCAAAAACTTAGTCAACTGTCCATCATCTACATATCTATACCAATACATGAAATTTCTTACGAGTGGGTTACTGTGTATTTTTACGCTCCAGACTATTGCTATAGCGAAACACATGTCGCCGGTTTTGTAAAACCCTTCACAGTGAAAATCATACAATAAACTGTATTAATTAGTTTTAATAGTATACTATTAGGTATCGGTCCCCCATCGTTATTCATAATATTACTATGTTTACTTATTTCTACACTCTCATAGGTATCTAGATGCCTCTAGAACTTATTTAACCAATCTTAATAAACTGAAGTCTATGGAATGGTTTTGTTGCAAAATATTACATAAGTGTGCTAAGTACTCACTAAGTACACTTAAAATAGGAAGACCTGAAAAATCAGCAGTCGCCCATCATATTTTACAACAAAGCCATTCCATCTAGATGCCAGTGAGAGTGTACAAATAAGTAAACATAATAATATTATGAGTAATGATGGTGGACTGATACCTAATAGTATACTATATAGCTTGTTAAAATAATACTTTATTTATTAGATTTAACTGGCATTTCATAAGGACACATTGTAAAATTAATTGAAGACAAGTAGAGAAGGCAAATTGCAAATTTAATTTGAGACACTCAAGACACAAGTACCTGAAACAGGTATCTATAGTATAAATAGGTATAGCTTTTTAAATATGATGTTTGATCTTCCACTTGGTGATCGAAACATGTGTTGAGGTGTTAAAATAACACCATGGTGTTGGAAAAAAGCTCCAGTAATATTCATTACTACACCAAAGGTTCCAAACAGTGCATCATAAATCCATAACGTATTCAAAAACACTTTATTGTTAGATTTTCACTAAACAGTTTTACAAAAACGCAACACGTGTTTCGCCATACAATGGCTTCTTCGACTTGTCTTTACACACCCGAAGAATCAATCGTTTGGCAAGTATAAATAGGAATAGCTTTGTAAGTATGATTAGTTTGATCTTCCCCTTGAAGATGAACACTTGGTGATCGAAACACGTATCGAGGTGTTAAAATAACGCTTTGGTGTTGGGAATAAGCTCCAGTGATATTTATTACTACACCAAAGGTTCCAAACAGTGCATCACAAATCCATAACGTATTCAAAAAAAACTTTATTGTTAGATTTTCACTAAACAGTTTTACAAAAACTCAACACGTGTTTCGCCTTATAATGGCTTCTTCGACTTGTCTTTACACACCCGAACAATCCATCGTTTGGCAAAACACGTGTTGCGTTATTGTAAAACTGTTTAGTGAACATCTCAAAATAAAGTGTTTTTTGAATACATATTTTTCTTCAATACAGCAGACATTTTATAAACTTATTACATTATTTTTTTTTAATGTTTGTCTCACACAATTTTATTTCAGTTATCACATTCCTGAAGTGCGTATCGTGACTGTGGAGCCTCTGAGAGCTGGAAAATCATGTGAATTAATTTTAAAATTCACCAATCCTTCTCAACACCAAACCACAATAACTTTTTTACAATTGAATCTCGAAGAACAGGAAATAGAAGAAACGAAAATTGAGGAAGTTATAGATGAAAGATGAATGTCTGGAATTGGTGTGAAACATTTAAAATGACAAATGGAAATATCATTTTAGTTGTAACAGCATCATACCAGATAAGATAGTTTCAAAAATGCTAGAAAAAATATACTGAAACATATGAAGAAGAGATATTGAGATATGATTATCATATTTGGATAACTTACAGAAGAAAAATGAATGTAAGTTACATCAATTTGAAAAAGGTTTTCAATTAAAGAAAATTCTTGTTGTAAAGAGATATATAGAATGTGATAAAAATACACTCATATAAATAGGTTATGAAGTCATTTTTGTGAAAAATATCAATTTCCATCAACCTTTCTAGGAATTCTAACCTTTCACAATCTAAGAAAAATTAAAATTGTTATGGAAAACTTTATACAAGTGTAGAACCAGAAAATTTTGATTAGAAAATTCAAAGTATTTTTCACAAAAAACTATTTGTTAGTAACTTGTCGTATAATTATTAATTTTGCCTGTAAAAAAATTACTAAGAAATTGTACAGATACACATAGAACCCAATGACAGAGGAAGAAAACAAATTGAGTTCATAATATACCTTGTTCGTATGGTAAAAGTTATATTGGTGATATCAAATGTAAACATCGATTGGTATAGAACAAAACGAAAATGATTACCAATGCTATGAGGCATAAGCTCAGAGAATCAGCCTATAGCTCCTAAGAAATAGATCGTACTTGGCAACCCATGTTGTAGAAACATGTGATCCGTGGCGAAATTGCAACAGACTAATATCAGAAAACCCTTGTGCTACATTAAATATTTCATGAGTCAATCAACAACATTGACACTATTTCACATTCAAAACAAACTTTTTTGACGCCTGTAAGGAAGAAACCGAAAAGTCAGGCGGCTGTCAAGTAGCAGAAGAAACTGTAAAGAATCAATGTTTCAAGTGCTGCTTTCGAAGATATGTATCTATTNTCAGTCGGTCAGGATCTGGTGCCTCTGGGTGGAACATTGTCTAGATATGTTTTTTTATTTAGGTGTCAATCACTTTTTCGGTTACTCTGTATAAATCTGAGAAAAAAATCCAACGAATGACAACTCTGAGCTGTCTAAACTTGTGCATCAAACATAGTTTTGGTTTTGTTCCTGTAAAGTAAAAGTTGTAACTTCAGATTTTTCTATTCTTTGGGGCCAAAAAAATCCTCCCCACGATCACAGCCATTATTTTTCCATTGATACTTCTGTTTACTTTTGACGACAGCATATCTCTTTTGAGCGTTTTCTCTGTTTCAATGAATTGCTACTCTCCAATAATAAACTGACCTCGTTCAATCAAAGTGCCTTTTCTCCAAAAGTTTTGATGACTTCTTTAAACTGTGTCATCAGACGGTACCATTTCGAATATAAATATTTCATAACCCCATTTGTTTGGTTTGTTAGGGTTGTATCTATTCAATGTTTCTTGCTTTACTAGAGCAAGCTTATTCATCTACACTAAGTTGTTTTTAGTAATATTGGTAATCTTGTAATGTTCAGAATCGTCTTTGCAAAAATTTCTGCTGTTCTAATTGTAGTGCAAATATTGACAACCCTAAATTTTTTCAAGGCCGTTTCTTATATTAGTTGACTTTTAAGATTCCTGAGGTGAATACACCTAAGCGATTGAATCCATCCATTTGATTCATTTGAAAAGTGGATTTGTGGTGGAATAATAATATAAATGATGGAATAAATTTTATGTCATGAAATATTTTAATATATTGTCAGATAAGTGTCAAAACAGTATTAAGAAGACACAAAGAAGTTGGTTTAAATCCAAAACGCCCTAACAGAGTTCCTGGGCTTCTCCCATTTCACAAATCTAGACGGTTACAATTTGCCATAGCCCATGTCAACTGGAAAATCCATCAGTGGGGAAAAATGATATTCACAAATCAAACAAGAATACAGTCATGATAACCAGATGGACGTGGTCGAGTATACAGAAGATCTGGAGAATGTTTCGCAGAATGTAATCTTGTACATAACGTTAGCTTTGGTGGAGGTTCCATTATGTTTTGGGGTGTCATTAGTTGGGACAGTTGCACCGAACTTATAGAGATAAATTTAAGAATAGATGCTGACTGGTACATACGCAACATTGGTTACAATAAATTCGTGCTAATGAATGATAATGCTCGTGCACATGCTGCAAGAACAGTCAGCCAGTATCTTGAAGTTGTTGGACTTGAGGCAGTGGAGTGGCCACCAAACAGTCCTGACGGAAATCCCATAGAACATATTTGGGACATCCCAAAAAGACATGTACGAGCACAAATCCAGCTCCTAACTCCATTGCAGAATTAAGAATTGCTGCACAGGGAGAATGAAATCGAATTCCACAAGAAACCATCAAAGACCTTTTGCGGAGTATGCCCAGGAGGAGGCAGGCTATCGTTAGAGCTAGGGGAGGAAACACTAAGTACTGGACTGTTATTATGTTGACTCAAAGAACTTTCATTTTGTCATCGTTGTTGCTTGTTCTGATTGAAGATTATTATCAAAACTAGTCTTTTTCATTAAAATTGGCAATTACACTTCAGATAGTATTGAAGTTCATTCTGGGGTTCCCCAGGGAAGTCACTGTGGCCCCCTACTTTTCAACCGATTTGTAAATGACATTGCCCTAAGTATTGAGTATTCTCAAATCCTACTATTTGCTGACGATTTAAAAATATTTAAAGTTATCGAAAATGAAATTAATTGTCATCAACTTCAGAGTTTAGAACATAACTACTCTGGTGAACAGAAGAATAGAAATTGGCTTATGCTTTTTGTTCAAGTTGCTAGCTGGTGAAGTTTATTCACCAGATCTCTTGTCTCACATTGATTTTAAAATTAATATCTCTGGTATTAGGTCAAATGACACCTTTCATAATAAACACCATTACCGTAACTATGGATTCCATAGCCCTTTATCAACAATGGTAAGGAATGCAAATAAAGTAGATTTGAACTACTTCGGCATACCCTATTCTACTTTCAAACGAGAATTAAAAAATATAAAAGATAAAGACATACACTTGGCCTTATGATGCTGTTTGAATGAGTGATCTGCTTATTCTCTTAAGAGTATATTAATGTGATTCTTTTTATTTTTATATTTTATAAGACCGCAATTTAAAATAAATGTATATAGCTTTTCTCTGTAGTGAAATTATGTTTTGTAGGTATACATATTCAGGACCGCAAACTTTATATTAACTTGTACAATGCTGTAATGGACATGCCGTAAATAAATAAATAAATAAATCTGGATTATTTGGTCATCAAAATACGTTAAATACTTCAGCATATACTATTTAGTAATGAAAACTGCTTAAAGATTCAGACAAATAGAAATAATGAAATCAAGACTTGAAATAAAATATGCAATATTTTTGTCTGCTAGTGTATAATGAAGAAATTGGAAAATTGCAGTCCGGATTGATTTGCCTTTTTAATAGTCAGGTGGATACATGCTCAGTTCTTTATTAACTTCTAATCAATTCATGAACGAATCTGTTACATGATTTTTCGAATGGGAATATTCATTTTTTACCTTTTCAGAAACAACAAATGTCTTTGCCTTCTTTATTGAGTCAACCTAGCAGTTTAATCAGCATTTCATCCCGGTCACCTTCGATTTCTGTAAAACCCCGAATGATAAAAGAGGAACTGAATTGTGAAGTTGAGATCCCTTCCAGCACTTTCATTCTTCCGCCAAGAAACGATGCTGCCGAATATGATGATTCTGGCGATACCCATAACATACAGGATGATACTAAGTAAATGAAATGAAATCTGTTTAAATTATCATTGTTAACAATTATTTTCAGGTTAGTTAAATGGAGAAAATCCAACAAAGCATTCATAAAATTGAATGTAACCCCCAAGAATGATTTGGATGTGAATTCAGACGTTGTGTGCGGGTTTATAATGCAGCATGTTTACACAAACGCCATAACTGGGCAGCTGGATAAGAAAGAACCTCAGAAGTACAATCACAAGGTGAAGGTGTTTCTCCGCTTAGGTCAATTGGTGGGGTCTGAGTAGAGAAATTCGTTTTGCTTTGAGGGATGCTATAATCATATTTGTCGCAATTAACTTGTATTATTTTAGAAATTATTGGAAAAATGACATTACAGATATTTATTGTAGGTAGCTGAACAAAATATTGGATATGAATTTATTTTCAGTTATAAGTCAATTGCAGTTAGTTCATTAGCAAACTAATTTCGGTATTTTTAAAGAGAAAGTTTATATAAAGATGCTTTTAGCTTTGAAAGGGTATATTTTATAATTTTTAATCCAGCCAAATGAAAGCACATATTTTGGGTAAGATAAATTAGCTTGCAGAACATATTATCTTGAGGTAGTGTGAGCCTTCCTTATATAGTTTCACTGTCATCATCTGAATGGAATAAAAAAATTACTGAATAAGCAAAATATCAACATAACATATAAGACTGGTAACTCATTGGGAAGGTATACAAAGAACACCTTTGCCACCTTTTGGAAAACAATCACGATTTCAACTACGACATACTCCATACAGAAAGTAAAGGACATAAATTGATATCTGGATATCAATGAAGGCAAATACTCAAATTTTCTATTGAACAACCAACAAGAGGTTGACCACTCATCATTGTTGAACTTTTTTTAATTTCTGTTCACACTGGACTACAATTTATATATACAACAGCAGTAGTTACCTCACTTGATTGGTTAATGATGAATGAGATAGCAGGTAGATTGTAATAAACAATTATAACCACAGTTCTTGGACAGCGGGTAAAAAAAATTGTGAAATTTGTTCATTATCATGGTTAGTGTTATTAATTTTCATGAAGTAACGAGTGAGTCCATTCATAATAAGAATACAAATAATCGTGTTGCTTCAGAAGTGCAAAATAAACATTTTTTAAGAGCTACTGAAAAAATTGCATTGAGATGTTTTGCTCTCAAAACGGTCATAAACGTTTATTGTGCTTTGGGAGACTCTGAACTGTTCTAGGTGATAATATAGGTATAGACGAATTTTATGTTGAAACATCTCTGTCTGTCTGTCTGATCTGGTTCGACAAACTTATCTACCAGAGGGACCACCATTTCTTTCCTTGAATATCAAATCTATTTCCGATTTGATATCGAGGTGAGATACATAGGTATAAGAAAATTTTGAAACATTCATCTCTCCCAACTACCAACATAGTAGGTTGTGGGAAGTGCCTACCGAAAAACAGGTACTACATTGACACGATTTGAAAGAATATCATAGAAAGGTTCTATTATTGTAATTTATCCTGGTTTCTTGGAATTGTTCTAGAATGTATATGAACCGTTGACTCAAATTGATCTTATTTATTTGAAAAACTTTCATGGAGGTCTGATGAAGTTGCAACTTTAACCACCTTCAAAATAATACCGTTTGTATTGACTGCTTTAATATCAAAATAGATATTACAAATTGTTTATATAAATATTACCTTCCACTTTAAGTGATTCATCTCTCTCAACTACCAACATAGTAGTTGTGAGAAGTGCCTACCGAAAAACAGATACTTCTCCGGCTAATACCACGCTGCACAATTATTGAATTGAACGTTTTGATACTGAATAACATCGATGAAATTGATATTCAGACATTGACACGATTTGAAAGAATATCATAGAAAAGTTATATTATTGTAATTTATCCTGGTTTTTTGGAATTGTTCTAGAATTTATATGAACCGTTAACTCAAATTGATCTTATTTATTTGAAAAACTTTCATGGAGGTCTGATGAAGTTGCAACTTTAACCACCTTCAAAATAATACCGTTTGTATTGACTGCTTTAATATCAAAATAGATATTACAAATTGTTTATATAAATATTACCTTCCACTTTAAGTGGCAATTTTGCTTTAAGAAATATATTTTGAATTTTATGTGTTTCTATATTTTATGTCCTTTCTCAGTATTTTTTAATTCTATTTTGATATGAAGATTAAATTTCAAATTGATGACTGATATTTTGGATGTTTCCAATGGTACGTGGGTTATATTAGGAAGTCTGTATCATGGCAAAACATAGAAGAGTCAGTACCATTTTCTAATCTCTACATGCAGTAATTTATGCAAGATGTTGAAGCCTTCCTTATTTAAAAATTTACTATCAACCTGATATCATCATTGTCAGATCAGCTTTGGAATGGGAATGGAGATAGTGGAATAATGGAGAACTTTATCCTTGACGGCTACAGGTTGATGGTCATCGTCAAGAATACCAATTCATTCGTGTACAATTTTTTACTAATTCTATCAAACTAAATGTTATTGAATTCAATTAATCGGAGCTGAAGTAGGATAAAAAAAGGAAGTCATCTTGAAAAGGCCTAACGATATAATACCGTAAATCATTAATTAGTCTCTTTATTCACTCAAATATAAATAATACAATTTAACAATTTCAAAGAACACAAGTTCAATACGAGTTCATTTCAAACGAAACAAAGAAGGCACGGGCATGAAAGAAGTAGGTACTCGTGAATCAAAATTTGAAGGTACTCGCTCTGGTCGCGATTATTCACGGCGTTGTGATCTCCGTTACAATCTCCGATTTAAAATTATCGGAGGTGAAGTGGGAGTTGAAGACATCAAATCAATCGGAGGTTCTGGATTTAACGGACTCTCTTATCAATGGGTAGAATCATACCTATTGAATCGTAGTCAAATAGTAAGAACTAATGAAAATTCAAGTTCAAAAAAACTGAAATGTGGGCTTCCACAGGGCTCGGTTCTGGGTCTCTAGTTACCTTTCTAATCTATGTGAATGATACAACATATGTTGATACATTAGGTAGTTTTAAATTATATGCTGATGACACAACTATCGTCTGGAATAGTTGGGACTATTGAAGATTTGAAAAAGTGAGTTGAGGAAGATATGGAAAAAGTATTCAACTGGTGTGAATCAAATCATGTTTCGTTTAATACTAAAAAATACAATTTAACGTCATTGTACTCTACAAAATTTGAGAATTAATTCGGAAATAATAGAAAATATGCACTGTTTGGAACCTTTGGTGTAGTAATGAATATTACTGGAGTTTTTCCCAACACCAAATCGTTATTTTTAACATCTCGACACGTGTTTCGATCACCACGTGATCATCTTCAAGAAGAAGATTAAACTGACTCAGATTTGATGAACACAAAAAAATGTGAAAAAAAGTTGTCTTTTGGTTACTGTGCAGTTAAAATATCGATAGAGCTAGGGTATTCTGCAGCTAAAATGGTGTATTACTCTGTATTTGAAACTCACTAGGGGTATTCAAATTGCAAAAAAGAACTTTAAGGTATATAAAGCTTAATATAACGAGCCACCATTATTTAAGACCCATAAAACATTAACTGCATTAACCCATTCGGCAGTTATTCTGGATAAGTAAGTATGGGTTTTCTATCAATTCCATAGATGTTCATGATCAATTATACCGATAGATTTTTTATAATCATTAGTTTCAAGAATTGACAATAGAAATTTTAAATTTTGCAATCAAAACAGATAGTTCGAAATGTTTTTGTTTGAAGGTGGTTGACAATGTTTCGTGATGTATTTCATCAGTTCGGACTTCCATTGTCTAATATAATATAAATTGATTTGAAATCCCTGAAAAAATATTAAGAAGATTAACCGAAAATAACTATTTTATTAAACAAAAAACTGAAATTACAAAGAAATAACATACAAGCAACAACCAAAAAAATAAAAAATTGAAATATTAATAAAAGCTGAAAAATAAAAATTAAAAATTATTACAAAAAATGAAAAATAAAAGATTCCAAACCAAGTTATGTCACAACGTTTTGATTGTTATTATCCACAATCGTCTTCGGGTGATAACTGGACTTATTCTTCCGAGATCTGACTATTTATAGGCCATTCGAGTGCTTTCATCTATCTCCTCTTCCCTCTCTCCGCTTCATTGGTTTTAGCGGGAGATGACCGTTTGTTGCTTATATTGTTTGTCACTCCAAATGAATCTAGATAAGGCGTCCACAAATTTACAAAATAATTTTTACTTGTGTCACCGTGTACTCATGATCTTATTAAATGATTTTCCTATGATTATGAATTGATTTCAAGTTGCGAAATTTATAGGTTCACCAACAGCAGAAACAATATAAATTCCACTAATAGGTGTTACCTTCAAATTTAGATATTGAGTTTTAAATTCTTAAATTTTTGTAATATTAGTGGTTTTGATGATGTTCAGTTTTAATGTACAAAACTTATGATTATTAAAATATTTATTCAAGTCTCAAACCATTCCAAAAACTAATAACATTCAAAATCTAATTTGAAAATTAGTGTTTCTCCAAACTCATTAAGCCCTTTTCTAAAATATTTCCAACATAACTTTAGTGGTAGAGTGCTACTAAATAACCAAATATACCACTCTGCACAAGGTAAATTGAAAAGGTGGTAAATGTATAAATGCTGTTTCCCTTCCTGCACAAAGCACTAGCCTACAAAAGACTAGATGGAAGTAAAGCTGTTACACAACCCTAGGGTTTTTTGTCATCTGGTAAGTTTGGGTTACTGGAAATACAAAATAAATATACTCACGGCTCAATCAAGTTTTTATTTTTAAAGTTTTGTATACACTTAACATATAAAGATAACTTCCTGAATGAACCATGTCACAGTTAAAAAAATCTACAACCTACGTCCACGACGACCTCCCTTCCTACGAGTGGAATCTGAGGGGATTGGTGTAACGTCTTCAATGCGTCCAATCTTCATGTTGGAACGAGCCAAAGCTCTGAGGGCACTCTGAGCTCCTGGTCCAGGAGTTTTTGTCTTGTTACCACCGGTTGCTCGCAACTTGATGTGGAGTGCAGTAATACCTAATGTTTTGCATTTTTCAGCTACATCCTGAAAGAGATTTGTTCATTTAGACGTGAAATCCAAGGAACTGTTGAGTTTTTAGTGAAATAACAAGAACCCTGTTTAAGGTGGGACACTGTCTGAACTTGAAAAGATATCAAGGCTCGTGCTTATTTCTAAATAAGTATGTATTGAGTTAAATATTTTCGTCAGCCCCAATCACAAATCTGAAGTCAAAATGCACCGTTCTGGTACACTTTCGGAGATAGGAACACTTACATGTTAAAAAAACAGACCATATCTGGAACTCACTTTTGGTAATTGAAATATGTGAAATGACATTATTTTTTCACTATCGCATATCGCGGATCTCCATTCACTAGACATTTTCTCCATTGATCTACATAATTATTTATGAAAGTAAATCACACTTCAACAAGGGACTTTTTCATTGGTTCTGTTGGCAGTGTTACAAAATTAAACAAAAAATGAATGCACTGTGCTCAATTATATATAGATATTGATAAGATAAAAATGCTAACATTATTGTCATTCAACAGTCCTCATACAAAAACATGTTGATAATTCAGCTTCTTAATGACAAAGAATGTAGCATTACTCATCTGTGTATATTAAATGTAATTCCTGATAAAACTAGTAGTGTGTGAACTTGTAATGGAAATGTATAATAAACAAAAAAAAAATCATTTACATGTTGATAAAAAAAAAGCTTTGAAAGTTTTTTTTTCGGGGTGAAGCCAAGTGGAATTTGCCAACAAATTTTGCATTTTTGGACTTGTAACTTCCTGTAATATTGTCAACAAATTCTTGAGTGAAGTGAAAATATCATTTGCATCATTCAAAAAAAAAAAGTCAGCTTTGTGAAACTGAAGTTTTTTATTGTGCAAAACATTTAAGATGGATGAATAAAGGCCTGCAGCATGTGCAGTGACGTCATAATATGGACTGGCCAATGAAGAAAGAACATTGACTCAAACATCTAAGAAAAGATGAAGAGATTCATGTCTTGGCATTTACGTCACTCATTTAATTAACGTCAAACACAATGTTATGATGTTCTAAGTGTTGCATGTTTTCATTGTCAAAATTTTGGGATTTGACTTGTCATAAAGTAGGTACCGTGACCCAGTGGCCAAGACGTTGTGTGATTCGTGTGTGGAATATATGTAAGTGACTTAACGGCCAGTCCATATTCTCGTGTCTACGAGCATTTGATAGCGAAAATAAGGTATCATTTCATTTGTTTTTAATACTAGAAGTGAGTTTCTGAAATAGATAATTAAAAGTTTTGTTACGGAAGTATACTAGAGCACCACAATTTAAATTCAAATTTGCGATAAGCAGACTCAAATAAATATGTAATTCTGATAAATTTCTTTATAGAAAGAACAAGCCTTGTAGCCAAAAAATTACCCATCAACTCAATATATCAGTCCAAAGTAAGATTATGAAAAATTCTCCAGTTTGTATTTTCATTTCCGTATAAGTAGGAGTGAACGACTGTTCATTCACATACAGATGCATTAACAATATATTGTAATTATGCATTATGAATATTGCTTGGGATTTGTGAATTTTGAATCAAATGAACAATTCTATTGAAAACAGTGCAGATATTTTTTTAGATATTGTAAAAAAAAGTGTATATTATTCATCTAGCAAATGAACCAAAATGGTTCTCAAGATACCCTGAATTCAACATTTTGTACAAGTACAATCAATTTCAAGCAATATGGATTTTTGAGAAATTTATTGGGTTTCACTCAATGCTAATTACAAATATTACAAACTTACTTGAGCTGCTAACATAGCGGCATAAGGAGAAGCTTCATCTCTGTCGGCTTTTACTTTCATACCACCAGTAACTCTGGAGATGGTTTCTCTTCCAGACAAATCAGTTACATGGACGAAAGTATCATTGAAACTTGCAAAAATGTGAGCAACTCCAAAAACTATTTCGCCTTCTCGGACTTGAGGTCCAAGTGAAAGCTGTACTTCTTCTTTCTGTACTTTTCCTTTTCTGGGAGCCATCTTTCACCTGAAATTGAATCCAATCATTAGTTTTTTTAGAATATCAACATAACCTAAAAAATTGAATAATATTCTGCAGTCATCCAAAGTATGTGAAGATAAAAATACAATTTTTCATTTGTTAGGAATTTTGCAATATGTACATTACCCGATAAATACTATATTTTGAAAGATTCTACAATATTCTTCAATTTTACTAATATTTCAATACGCAAACATACCCACAATGTGTTAACTGCAAAAAAGAATCTTAAAAGGAACAGAGGGCGCTTAGCGCTTATTGCTTATTGCTGTGTCAATGTCAACTGTCAACGTCAACAATTATAGTTACTAATATTAAAGTTCCTATTCTTCTGGCATCAAATACAGAGGCGTAACCCAATAAATCATTGGAATACCGTTTCCTTTCCTAATTTTAATTATGGAATAGATTCTGCTTTATGGTGTCATGTTTGAATGAGTCACTCATATTTGATAATGATAACATTTTCAAGGGCACATTTGCTGTGCAGTACCCATTGTTAGAAATGCTTTGATTGGATTGTTCTTAAAAGGTGGCGTATTCTGATATAAATAACACTCCAGCAGAAAATATATTAACTATACAATTGTATATTCTCTGAAAGATATTTTTTATGTAGGAGTCAATATTTCTTGCTGTTTTTTGGACATTTCCCCTTCCACAATTTGAAAACCAAACAAAGCTTAGTCTAGATATATAAGAATCTGCTGAAGTGTAACGAAAGGTAATCTAAATAGTTCACTTTCTCTGAGGTGTGGATTTTTATTTGCTAACGAAAATAAATTACTTTCCGAAACAGTAACCATCTAAAGGGAACAAAGAATATTAATTTCATTTTTCCAGTTCATTCAATGTGTGAATACGACACTTGGACTGTTCTCATCAGTATGTTTTACTAAGCTGTATGCCCAGTGCACTTGATACAACGCGTATATGAAACCAAGTCGAAATTCGTTTCACCTGAGAAGTAATATCACTTTTATTTGGTTAACAATATCGTGCCATTTTTCACTTGATTATTGGGAAACTGAAGGATTCTTGGATATGTTTCTTCATCTCCTACTTTTTTATTCGAATACTATACTATATCTAATGACAAACATCTCATCAAACTAAATTGTATTCGATTACAACATCCATCATATCAACAACAAATAATAACAAACTCCCAAGTATGAATCACTCGCTGGTGAAGGTTTTCCTGACCTACGATTGTAAAATGTTGAATTGGTTGATATACAATTGAAAAAAATATTGAATATCATTTTGTGAAATTATTAACTAAAGGGCTACAGGCCCCCGAGCACTGAAAATTCCTCCAACGAAACTCTTCGAGAAACATATCGAATGTCTCATTGATACGAGCTGAACTCCTAACACTTTTGGCTGTACCTTTTAGATAGTAAAGTAAATGAAGTTGTCAAAAAGGGTGTTACACAATAATAATTTGATCTGTGTGCTTCTATAGAAAATAACCTTGGTTCATCAATTGAATGATTCATGAACCATTGCTTTGTAAAAAAACAAATATTTTACTTCGTGATAACCTCACAATATTTGATTTCAATATCAAATAATTCCTTTCCACAAAGTATTAAAATATATTTTGTGTTAACATTAAGAGTGACATTTTTCAAAATTGTTGCGTCCTACTTTTTGTAACCAGTTACGAAAAGTTTTACGCTTCATAAGCGATTTCGATTAGGTATTGTTTTTTTCTCCATCATATCCGTTCTTGGTTAATAATAGAATGTGAGAAGTTTACTACCACGCTTTCGGTAGAAGACGTCGAAATGCCAAACGGTATGATGAACATATTTGATAATGAGACAATAAAATTGTAAAATAATGGAATATATAATGAAAAAAAAATCTATAGAAATAAAAAAAAAATGTTGCATGATAAATAAGCTCTAAATATTGTAATGATCTGTCAAAAATATTGATGTTCATAGCGCTCGTCGCGTTTAATTGCTATAAAACCCTGTGAAGTCTTCAAGTTTTTCATAATTATGCATTGAGGGAAATAATCATTGGTATTTAAAGTAAACGAGAAACATGCTGAAACGTGACATTTAGTTTAAAATCTTATTCATATTCGTATCTCTATATTTTCTTAGTTCTTTCAACTTTCATTCTAAATCAATGCCCCGCTTATGTTTCCAATGCTACCACCACCGGTTCGCGACAGGGGATTTATTCACCGCTAATTGTGTTCTCTTTCTAAAGATAAAGATGGCGCTAAATGTCAGGTCATTGACAATTATTCGAGTTCGAGGGGAGGAAACTGACAGTTCAGCCAGGCAGGGGCCAGTGGTCGGATGGATTGCAAATCGTTGTTAGTTAAAGACAGTAGCCATATTTGTTGTTATCGTTAATGGGGGAGGTTGCGATCCTGTAAAAACACTATTGACGAATTGTTGAGTGGAAAGCGCGAGTGCATGAATTAGTGGGGTCCCCGAACGACCCAAGAAGGGTGATGAAGCAGGTCCTGGGCCAGCAGTGAGTGTCTTGTGTCAGGGGGTCTCTCTTTGTTTGAAACTGGCGGCGGCTGCTGGAAATCTGGCCGGTGGTGGCAACGATGTGCCACCCGCGATGCTGGATTGGGGCGACAGGGAAGGTGACAGGTTCAGTTTTGAGGACTCGGACAGATTTGAGGAGGATTCCCTATGTAGCTGGAGCTCAGAACCAGAGAGCCTTTGCAACAATTGGAGAGGATGGAAGAAGCCCTCGGCAGCATCCACCACCTTCTTTGGGGCTAGCAGAAAGTCCGCGGACGGTAAGTTCGACATCAGCCTTTGTTCTTCTCTTTGTTGGGAATGACTTGCCCAGTTCTTTGTTTTGGTAATCATATACTTTGTGAAGGAACGTCTTACCTGCTGACAGATGCCTGGTGGATGTCTGTAATGGACAACTGTTGTTTTCAGCAATTGGTAATCGAAAATTACATAACACTAATGAATGTTATTATAGAACCTTTGATGAATATTAATACCTTTTTTAATTTTTTAGCTGTTGAGTAATGTCCCGAGTAATTATCTTTTTTAATAGTGCTTCACCTATAATATAGATATTTATTCGAGATATATAGCATTTATCTATTTATTGAAGTATACCTTATCAGATATTCGATCCAGAAATAGATTTCAAAAATCAATCACTTCGGAGTCGTCACTGATTGTTAATCATGCAATAATTTATATCATCAGAGAACTAAGTACTGGATTTTTCAAACTGTCAAATTAGAATACCCCGAGATTTTCGAAATAAGAACGCTGATGAGTAAAAAAGTCGCGAAGAAAGTGAGGACAAGATTTTGTTATTAATGAAATCTTCATCTTTTGACGCAGGAGTCAGATTACATTGATTTTTTCAAATAATAATTTCAATAATTTGCCATAATTATAAATCACTTGGAAGTTTACCATTATTTTCCGGAAGTGAACAAAATTTATGACACGCTAAATTTCGCTTTTTCTAACAAATTATTATGGAAATAATATGAGTGCTATGTTATTTATTACAATGAAAATGACATCTGTTTTGATCTTCTTCACTTTTCAATCTTCATTGGCCTTGGTTGCATTCTGTATTTATAGTAGTGGAAAAGAAAAGTGGAAGGTAGTTACTCTAAATAGTAGAAAAGAAACTCATTTCAGTGGAATATCAGTGAATTTTTGTTTTAATATTTGTTTTTATCACAATAAATCTATAAAACATAAATTGAAATTAGAATTCAGTAACTAGGTACTATTTTATTGACACGAGTTATTTGGTTATTTAGAGAAACTACCCCCACCCGAAGCTTTACAAAATATATAGAATGTATCAGTAGAGAGGGTTCTTTTAAAGTAAAAAAATATGTTGAAATCAGCATGGGGTAGTGTTTCAATTGAAACGAATATTTAGGGAAACTACCCTCATCAACCCCCTTCCGAAACCTTACAAACTATATAGAATGTATCATCAGGATTCTCATCTATGGTAGAAACATGAGGTATTATTTCATTAAAACAAGTTATCCAATTATTCTGAGAAACTACCCCCCATCAACCGAGGCCCTATATGGAATATATAATAATAATGGTTATATTACCATCTAGGGCACTCTTACGGTATTGACGAGACACCGGTGTTGCCCTACGCTCCGGAGGATATTGAATCCCTTGTGAGGAACGAGAAGTGCCAAATTTATTGGAACTATTCGTTCCCGACCCTTAGGCTCATACAAGCTAATAAGCCTGATGTAGTCCTTCTCAACCACCAGAGCAAGACGATATTTGTCGTGGAGTTTTCAGCTTCTGGCGAGACGAATATCGTCCGAAAAGAGGAGGAAAACCGGATAAAGTATCGATTTTTTCTCTTTGAACTTCGCAGACTCTTCCAGACCACTCTGTCGTGATGGTTGTTCTGATTATTGGAGTCCTCGGTGGAATGAAAAAATCAACTTCTTTTAACTATAAATCCTTCAATAAATGCTAAAATCAACTTATATTGGAAAATGCAGGCTTTCCTTTCGGATGGTAATTTGAATTCTCATTTTAGTAAATGAGTTATTCAAATACTTGGAGAAACTACTCCCACCAATCCCCACTCGAGGCTTTGATCACAGTCATAAGCAAACTCCTTTTTACGGTTTGATTTTGAAATCATGTTTCTATTTCAATTGGTTCAAAAGGTTTTAAAATTATCAGCTACTCTTTTTTTTAATTTTCTTTAAAAAAATTTACCATTTTTATTTCAGTACGACTATACAACAAAGTCATAACAGCATAATCATATAATTGAAGTTGATATGGGTAATTACCCCCTTTTGCCCTGTTCAAAATCATGCAATTGTTTCAAGAGGAAATTTTCTACTTTCCTCAAAAACATCACCTAAAGCAGCATGATTTTGTTGAACAATCTGACGAGACCCAATTCACCACCCTAGTTCATACCACAAAAAATCGATTGGGTTCATATCGGGGTTTTTCAAAGATAATTTTGATTTTGTATAATAAGTTAATAGGGAACTTGCAGATTTTTTTTACATAGTAAATGTGTTCTGCTATGATAACTACTGCAGAATATAAGCAATGAAATATCAATAGTCAGTTTATAAAAAATATAAAAAGTTTCTTGCGTTGAAAAACCAATTCAAACAAGCGTTTAAAGGCGCGAACTGTCATGACGTCATACTGTATCAATCCGGGCGCGCTCATATGGCGCAGGCTGTGAGTGCCGTTTAAATCTACTTATTTAAGCAGGTAAGCAAGTGAAGAGGTCCTGTTTTTTTAATAAATTGGTATTATTAAGTTGTATAGTTTCATGATTTGTGTTTAACCTTGGTTCAGTTTTGTTTGTGTGTCGTTGAATTTATAAATCTAACAAAGACTTTCAATTTCAAAGGCAATTAAACACAAACAATATTACAAATATTGCATTTTGCCTATGTGCACAAATATTTCTATTAAATCACCCAATAAAATATTTATAAGAGTACCTGAAGGTGATCGTAAACGTCGATCAAAATGGTTAAATGCATGCAGAAGGAATAAAAATTATATTTCACATAACAGTAAAGCTCTTCATGTATGTCAACATCATTTTAATGTAAGTATTTACATATTATTATCTATCTGATTCGTGAGATAATTGCGTTCAGGCAAGACATATTGTATCTATGAAATATATTATGTACTTTTACCCCAGTTTACATAAGTATACGAGTATCAATTTTTTTATTACGTACAGAGGTACATAGAATTTATACATAGTGATTAAACTTACAACAAATAATAATTGTACTTGTCTATTTTAACTCCGCGTACTTCACCAAGAGAAAAATGTTTCTTTAATTAATTTTGTTACCATAAACATATCAACAATTGGCAGATTATCGGACTAACCTTTTGTAAATCCGTCGTCGGTCATGTTTGTCTGTGTAAAATTTACTAAATGCAGTAAAAACCACGGATGTGGACAAAACTATCACAATAAACAACAGAAACTTCAAACTAGCAAACACAAACAGTTCAACATAAATGGAATGGCGACTTGCGAAATACAGTATGACGTCACATCCAAAGGCTGGGCGTTTTTGGTCACGACGAAATTTAAATTTTAATTTTTTCTATAGAACGAATAGCATTTTAAAAAATAGTTGAAAAAATAGTTTTTTTGCTTATAAAGGCTTTATTACAATGATAACTTTTGATTCTCAATGTCATTTTCGTGGTTACATTTTTATGTAAGTTTCCTATTCAAGCTACAGTTTACAGTTTCGAACAATATGCCGTATCTCTTGAACAAATTTAAATAGATATATTAAATGTTTTCGTTGACAGGTTGGTCAAAAATTTAATCCAAATTATGGGCTGAAAAATCTACAGGAAGTTTTCAACGTAGTAAAAAAACATCATCTAAGTACCTGTTTTTTTCGGAATCATCGGCGTCGACTGCTACGATCATTGGCCTCGTGTTTTGGGTAGGCAATCTTTATAACTAACTGAGCCACCTAAGTGTACATATTGCTTGCATTATAAAAAAGTTATCAGATCTCATAGTACGCGAAGATCACGTTAAAGGGTTGTAGGCACACCTTTACTCTAATAACCCCACCTTGAAGTTGAAATATACTGTATTGCCGTTTCTTTATTCCAGGAACTATTGGCACAAAATGAACGAATTGTAAATACATTTCTGACCATAAGTTTATGGAAGTGAACGTGATTCCTATGAAACGGTCAGTCCACATATGTTTTACCAATTAGGTAGGGTTTGTAGAGTTAAGGCATGTCTACATGACCTAACGTAAGGAGTTTGCCTCACGGTGAGATCTTCTGATTTTTTTATAGTGCAAGCAATATGTACTCCACGTGCCAAGTATTATACTAAAATTTCAGTGAAAAGTGGTTATCTTAGCTTAATAGGGGTGCTAACTTCATACTTGTAAGGAGGAATTGATTTCAGTGAATCACCTTTGACCAAGCGGTTCTCACAAATCGAGGTAACCGTTTTAAATTGGAATCATAACGAACAACAAGAACTCATTAGACACGATATGGTAAATGGATGGTGATGAGGTTTTTCCGTTAAATTATCACGAATGCGGCAAGATGTAGATGAGCTCGGAGGGAGCTCGAGGTAAAAACTAGGCTAATGAACAAAAACAAATTAATAAATAATGAATTGATCATTTACTTGTCTCCCAATCGATGTTAAATAATCACTTCCTGTTACTTTTTCAGTCGACCCTGTGCTTATGCGCAACATTTTTAACGCATATGAAATACACCTTCACAGTCGGAGAATGAGTCGGAGAATTGCTTTGCAATTCCAGCGACATGATTGCCAAAAAGCAATGTTCTATTAACAAACGAAATGTCTTTTTATCAATTTTTTTAAAACTATTGAAAGTTGCGTCACTCAAAATGTTTTCTCCCGCAAACTAATAGTCCGACAGCTAGGAAGTTTGTACACGTGTATTTTGAAGGTTAGGGTCAACGAAAAATCATATAGATTTATACTAAAACTAATAATGATTGAGAGTAGAAGTAAGCCCAGTTGACAGCAAATCGGGGGCGTGCTTATTAATTTTTGAGAGGGTTAAGAATGAAAGAAAAATTCTTAGTACAATTAGTTAAAATATTCATACACATTTTTTATTTATTTCATTAAAACTTTGCAATATCGTAATTTACCTAATCGTTGTAGTCATTAGGTGGGCCTTATGAAAACGGAGTAATAATCGTGGTAATTATAGTAGGTACCAAATAAATTAACAATATTAATAAA